CAGCTTGATAAGTCATGAGAATTTAGGAAGGACCAACATAGGTGTGGCAGGACACAAGATGAAGCTTAAATCAAAGAGGATATGGGATATGAGAAATTTTAAAGGGGAGACGCAGGATGAAAATTGGAAGGAAAAACCAGAATATGCTCTCTTTTGAAGGCAGAATAGGGGACAGGATGGGTGTAGGCAGGATCACAGAACTCAGGTTACAAGTTACTTGACCACAGAGACATTAAGAAGTATTTATTGGCTTTAAAAAGGGGCCTAACTAATGCTCCAGTGTAAAGTGAGGTTGATAGGCCTAAATGACTCTGTGGTAAATCCAGTTTTCTCTGCGTTAGTTAAAAGTGTTTACATGACTACATAGTATCTCTGGTTTTTGTTCCTTCGTTATAATTTTCCAACAGAAGTTCACAGGTCTTTGTTCAAATGAAGACCCTTGTGGTCTTAAAGGTGCATTAGGGTAGCAGTAGTGGTGATATGTGAGTATTGACAATCTGTTTCTTTGCCCAGATGCTTTGAGATTACTGTAATTTTATCTCTAATATATACCATTCACATATTGCATGGCATACATACAAACTCAGGGTCAAGGGTGCGAGATTCAGTGACTCATTTATAATGACATATATTTTCTTTCTCTCTTTTTGTAGGATTTGTGGTTACTGTGTTCCAAGATCTGACCATCATTGTGTTTGGTAAGAATTAATACTTGATAAAATTAGTTTTTTTTTTCACCACTTGTATTCAGGTTTCCTCTGCAGTCACCCTTTTCCTGCATTCAACATTTATTGCGTCTTATTTAACTGTGTTCACTCAAGTGACACAATCACTAAAAACATTGTAAGCTTGCCAAATTTTCATCTGTATTTTTAAATGCCATTTACTTGAGTCATGAAAGTGAAACCAAATTCATAAGTAACAATAAGTTTTATCCAAAGGTTGCACAGTGAAAATTAAATTAAAGTATCGTGTGGGTTCCTTCTTGACTGAAAATTCAGATGAAAGAAAACTTTCTTGGGAAAACATATGCAGGCACTTTCTTGCTGGGAGTCAGCAATTTCAATTTTCAATACAGTTCAATTTTGAATGGACATTTGCTACAACATGTTTGGTTATCAGTGAATTATCAACACAGTCTTTCCTTTTTTTTTTTTTTTTGAAATCTGGTAATGTTTTGGAGATGTATTTATCATATTTGTTATTGTTTTCCTCACAGGACAAACTGTTGTATTGGACAGCACAATCATCATTCCTTCCTTGCTGCTATAATTACTTTTGTGGTTACTGGACTATGGGGAGTCTATCTATCTTTTTTCACTATCTGCACATCTAAAGACAACAGCATTTTCCATGTGGATTGTTCAGATGTCTATGCTAATTCTCGGTAAGTTTAGTCCAATTCTAAGTCCTCTCTCTTCTTCAAACCTGTTCTTTGGAATGTCACACAAGGAAGCATTTTGTGACATCTCAAAGAGGAGCTTCATAGGAGACAATGTCACATGGTATTTTTTGTCAAGATTGATTTAAGTGCCATCTTTTCGTTCAAATTAGCAAAGGTTTCCAACTTAATTTTTTTATTTCAATATTTCCCAATAGCAAAGCATAAACTTAATTTTGACCCAAAGAGTATCTGAAGTTGTTGTTGTGTTGATTAGTTTGTCAGAGAAGGTAATTTCTCAACATTATAAGACAAAAAGTCATATATAGAGGGGGAAAGGATTTCACATTCTCTATATGTGATAAATGCTGCACACACCATACTGAAATAACCATTGAGAAAATACCAAAATGTACCTGGCTTCGACCCACTTCAATAAAGCCTTTCGCTGACAGGTTTCATTTTCCTTTTCAGGTCTTCTGTTGTGTTTGTTGCATGTTGGTACACAATCATCTTCTCGTTAGGCATGTGTGGGCTTCTGTTACAACAGCTTGTATTTATTAGCCTGAATTTGACTGGTGATGAGTTCAGAAGGTCTTCTAAGAGGAAGTCATTTTGTGAAGTGATAAGGACACATAACCATAACAAAGGATTTATTAGGAACTGGATTCAATTTTTATGTCCTCAAGATATTGTCTCCATTTCTGGAGAAGTAGTTTAGAATTGTGTGGCTAGTTATAAAATCTTAAGTGTTTTAAACTAGCAGCAGTGAAAAAAGGAATAGCTGATCTGCTTATGGACCTTTTTATTCTTCAAAAGGAGGAGCAGAAATAAGAGGCAAGGGCAAGGATATTAAAAGAAAAAAAAAGAAAGAAAGAAACAGTTGTGGACAAACCAAAATAATGGCTATGAAATGAACCTAGTTTCTTACTCATTCAATTCATGGAAAGTATTTTCTGCTTTGAAGGTTATTGATTATTGGATAAATCAATTATAAGTTATTGCCTGTTATTAAATATTGACTCTGATTATAAGAATATTATGATTCATAACTTTGTATGTCAGGGGATTTTGCTATTATATTTTTGGTTTTCAACCTGACAGCACAGAAGGGAAGGGTGGGTAATCTAGGTGTGAAAACAGTGTGATTTGTGACCCTCCATTTAAAAATTCCCAGCCATGCCCTTGGGCGCATATTCTCCTCATTTTCAGAGTGAAAATTTCCTTCTCGAAAAAACACCAATAAAGCAATCATTGCAACGAAATTGGGATTTTGACCAGCATGCCATTAGGGCAGAGTACATGTGGTACTCTGCAGGTTTCTTGTTTGGTTGCCAGGTAAGTATCAATCATATGTTTGATTGAAATATCCCTTACCCTGACAAAATGTCCATGCTAAACAATTAGCCTTCTGCCATTTGATCAGAAAAAGCAAGCAAAGCATCCAAGGAGAATATTTGCTGGTTTTCTTTGAAAGGGCGCACAGCAATGCGGATGTGCTTTTCTATTCCATCTCAGCGGGCTCTTGCAGTCTAAATTACCTTCGTTACCAGTTTCTCTCTTTGAGAAATAGGACAAGCGAAAAATTTGCCGAGTGCGAGATATAGTTCGCAGAGTTTCCTCCCATTGAATAAGGAAATGAATTACTAAGCCCTCAAATCTGTAAATCGTAAATTATGGCTTATTTTTTTGGAAAAAATGCCACTGGCCTCATCCGGTGAGACGGACAAATTTCAACCTGAAGTCGAGGTTAGCGTTTATCCGGCGCGAATCTTCGTCATTTGTCTAGTATGCCGTTGGTAGTGGTGTGAGGGAAATCTCAAACTAATTTGAGTTGGCCATGGGAAAGACTTTAGAAGAGTGTCACAAGATCCTTGGCGTGAATTATGGCGCAACAGAAGGTATTTTTTTTGAGGAATTCCTACAATTTACCAGCTGATTTTTGTGTGAATTTCGTACGTACCGGCTGCGACAGTTTGACGGTTAGCATGTTCTGTTTTTTTCCTAATTCGAAGAGTTTTTCAGCTTAAACGTCCGAATTTTAGCCAGAGTTACTTTGAAACTGATCAGTCGTGAGTTGGAATTACTGTATCCAGGGAAAGGTTCAGCCTATGTGCAATGGAGTACTGTGTGTTGTTTACTTTGTCTTCGTGTAATCGTCCATATCCTCATCAGTTCTGCATTGACTGAACCTGGCTGTAAATAGCGCAGTAACTCTTTGTAATTAAAATCTCTGTCGCTTAAATGCTTCTCGAAAGTGTATTACCTTTTGAAAGTTTACAAATCGATCGGTTTCAGGATAGATGTATGAAGGAACTAAAGAAATAGATTTATGGCCTGCGAGTAGGCTTCCATATCATGGATTTTGTAAAATTTCACCATTTCAGTTTGGAAAGTAGGAAAGAAGCTGTTACAGGGATGATAATGTTTATGATATATTCCAGAAGTGATTTAGCCCTTAAACTCCCGAGAGTACAGTTCTTACAGTATCGACTAATACAGATTTAAACAGGAATGAGATGAGAAGATCTCCGTATGGCTAACACAACGGAGAATTTCAATTCCGACGATGGGAGTAAAGGGGTTTACATACTGAAATTTATCCTTTACAATATCAATTCTTTATCCAACAAAACTGGTGGTGAAAGGGAAGAAACTTGTAAGATCAAGGTGATATCTTAATAGAATACCTTAATCTCCTAAATAACTAACAAAGAAGTGTTTAACAATTGATAGAGAGGAGATTTATCATTTAGACTTGAGGACTTTGGAGTTGAAAGTATTAAAAAATTCTCTCTTTATGTCAGATGAAATCAAGAGTGCTTACAGGAAAAAGGCACTGCAGTGTCACCCAGATAAGGTATTGATACCCAGACTAGAGAGTGTGGCAAGAGTGTACACAAGTCTTTTGCTTAAGTATTCAGTTTGCATATCATTAGCATATGGTTTTATGTGGTAGTTTTAAAACTAAAAGGCAGTACTGCAGCTATATATGCATAGGTTTTCATCTCCCAGTTGTTTTGCCTTTGGTAGATGCTGCTAAAAGTGACTGCACTGACAAAAAATCTCCATGGATTCTGCCAGACTCTGCAGACTGGCCTGATACTGTACCTTGCACAATAAATGTGATATCAAATCCATATCTCAGGCTGGGACAATAAATATATGTTATTCCTAAGAGGATCATATGTGAATATTTTCTGAATAGTTAGTGTATAAAAGACTGTTAGAAAGTTAAATTTCTTGGCAAGAATATGTTTGTTTCATATAATGTAATGAAATAAACTCAGATTATAGTACTTACTGAATGAGTTTCTAGCTGTCTCCCCTCTTATGTGTGCGGTTGTAGCTCTGTACTAAAATATTCATTTATTTCTTAGAATCCTGATGACCCCTTGTCAACACAGAAATTCCAGGAGTTAGGCCATGCATATCGACGACTGACTGGTAAAGAGAGAATTGACTCTGTTCCAATAATACATGGATCAAACAAATTTCATAGAGAAAAAATTTGGCTATGAATTTAATTAAAACCAACTGCAGAGTCTGTTAATCATTTTTTTTTGTGTGTTAAGGGGATGAAGATGATGACAGTGACGATGATTACAAAGACTATGACATGGATCTGTGGAAAAAGGTAAAATCTGAACTCCGAGTTTGTTGTATAGAGATTGAAACAAAAAGCTAACAAAGAGCATTCTAGAAAAGCAGTAATATGGGAAATATTAATAAAACTGATCATCTTGAAACAAGCTGTATGGAAGAGGATAGTGTTTTCAGTCTCTTGTTATTTGAAACATTATATTCTTTTTTAATCTTTTATCACTGTTGTCTGTGAGTTGTGTCATAATTGTTAAAAAACCCATACTAATTCTTTTTTCATCAGTTTTTCTTCTTTTTATTCAGAGATGAGTTCATCCAAAGAGGTAACAGTATTTTAACTTTTCCTGGTTTGCACTAGATAAAATAAAATATTCCTGTGAATAAGTCCTTCAAACTTGTACCTCAAACTGCTTCCAGGTAGCAATGAATTACTGACAAGAGAAAATATCCTTAAACCTATTCTTACAATAAACTACTTTTTTATTTTAACCCTGCTACCCCACTGGAAATTTCTGTATGAGTTTGAGTCTAGCTCTTTGGAAAATTTTTGCCTTGACAACTTCCTCTCTGTTGGTATTTCAAACAACTTTCCTTGTAATTGTTTTGTATGGCATTGTCGCAACTGTAATTTTAAGCTAAGATTTACATTCCCTTTTTTTTTCCTCCTATAGTTTGTTGCCAGTGCAGCAGATGTGTAAGGTAATATGTGCAATTTAAAACTTTAAACTTAAAATGTTCCTAAAATTCTTTTAAATTTTGTATTAACATATTTGATATGTAATGTATTTGGGAAGCTTTAAATATTAATAGGATATGTTTCCTGTAATACCTCTTTTGCAGATCAAGAGAAGAAGAAGATGATGATGATGATGATGATTTCCTAGCTTCCCTTGTAAAGGTGCACAACACAAGATCAAATTGTAAAAAAATTTTTTTAAATTTAAATCACAGACGTATTTTCACACCCTGTTGGAAATTGATATTTTTGTTCCTTTTTTCGTAAATGATAGGAGCAGGATGAAGACTTCACAGAAGAAGAAGTATGTGTTGAGTTTTAAAACTAAAATTATCATGGGCCAGTAGAATTTCTTTGTCCTTTAGAGTTGTTCAGTGAGTTGTCTTTGACTCATAGTGATGAATGCACAAATTTTTCTCATCAGTCTAGTTGTTATAGAGCCTAGAAATGAACTGCTAGAATGAATTTTAAATTTGCTCAACTGTAAGCTTAAATGTTCTGATCCTTTGTTTTTTTCCACTATGTATTAGATGGCTCAGTTCACAAGTTTTGCAAACCTCAAAGAGCAAAGAGAGGCCAATAAAAAGAAGTTCTGTGATGTAAGCATCAATGTGATTTGTAAACAACTAAATTGCACTTGATATGATTTATATATTTATTTGTATAATGATGAGGCTCTTTTTGAAAGCAGAGAAACCTGTCAAATGGAAAAATTAAACAAAAAGGAGTGAAAGGAAATCAGGCAAGAAAATATCCAGTTTTAATTCTCGCTAACTTTGACTTAAGCCAAACCTATTATACTTAATTTGTAAGGTTTTATTAGGCTTTGATGACCATGTTTACATGATATATTATTAGGTTAGGGCTGGTTATATCTTTCAGAGTTGTTATTTTGCTATTTTAGATTTCTTAAGCTAATTGCTTGAATGAGTCTCTGACATTTCTTTTTCCCTATCTTAATTTCCCTCAGCCAAAGTTAAAGAATAACAAACAACTTAAAGCAGAACAATGGAAACGAGAAAAGGTGTTTAAAAGTACATTACTGAAAACTCCTTTAGATTTGCTGCTTAATTTAAACTGTAAGCTGATGCCCAGCTTAGCCTCTAGAGCTGTAGCCTCTCTGTGGCACTGAAGCATGTGTTGTGGATGCCTGTGTGTTTCAAGAAGCAAAGCAAGCATGTAAGAGGTTTATTAGGTTTGTTAGGGTCTGGCATCAGATTCTCACAAACCTGTAGTCCAATTGAATTTTGCTTGAATGCTTTGCAGAAGTGATGAGGGCCTGCTCGTAGATTTCTAGAGTCAAAGAAATAATTAACAGAGAAGTGGGTGATTGAGCTGAGAAAGAAATAGGACTCATGGTTTCATTGCAATTTTCACATGTACTATTTGTTTAATGCTACAGGAAATATCTGAAATAGCAGTCCAAACTAAAGGTGTAAATCAAACTCTACAGCAAAAGCATAAGGTAAGATTAATATACAGTGACATTTTAAAGGTACTGCAGGACCAAAGGCTGCCACACCCCCCCCCCTTTAACCGCCACCCACCACTCAATAGTGGTTTTCTGTCATTGTTCATTTTAGTCTTGTGGATAAGTAATGTTCAGACATATCATGTGGTGGCTTTAGACAGAGGTCACTTCTTAATACATTAATTCTTCCTTGATGATTTTTTTGTTCAATTGCATGTCCTTTTCAACTTTCCTGCCACTCCACTCCAAGGATTGCATCTGTGTGGTTGAAAACCAGTAAAACTGAATTTGTGAATCTTGGCTTAATCCAATTCTTCAAATGAAAGTTCAATATTGAAACGAACATTGGAGTCAATATTTCAGGAAGCAAACTCAAATTTGGTTCCTCTTACAGACACTTAACCAGGCATCAACTCTGATTTTACCATATGATTACTGTGGATCTTTTTCCCTTGTTTTGTCCTCATAACAGGCTTTTTCTAGAGATTCTAAAGCAAAGACACCTATGCAGCATAGAAGGTATGGAGATGACATGATCAAGAGATCAAGTAGCCTATGGATGAGTAATGTGATAATAATGCTACTTTATGTACTTTGTAGTTTTGATCATCTTGGCAATGTTTACTTTGGTCAAGAGAAAAATGTGAAAGAACGCAGTGATGGTGCTTGTAACAAGAGGAATGCAAGGAAAAAGAAGAACAGGAAGGTATTTGTCATTTGTTAAGTCTAAGGTCACTTGCAGTTTTTATTTTAGACTAGAAGAGAGATGAAATGTAGAGGTGTTTAGTGCATGATGTCTGGTACTTTGGCATATATTAGCTCCCAAGAATCTTATGGCTGCTTCTCTTTGTTACTGTTAAAAACCTCTATCACCTAAAACCTGAATGCTTACTGAAGTTGCACATTTAAGGATATCACCTGCTGTTTCATCGACTTCAGCACACCCAACCTCTTTAATGTTAATACTTTTTTTAAAGTTGTATTCTTATGTTGATTTATTGGGAGCTGTGGTTGTTTTTGCTTTTGTAATTTCTATATACTTAGCTAAGCAATATTATCCTAAAAAGCTATGTCACAAAAAGAACATCACGAAGAAAATATCCTCCAGGAAAATTGAGAATACCTTTCAATTTTAGAAGAAGAGACCACAAGATTACTACTCTGTAATTCTGTGGTTTTAAGACAATATACAACGGTATTTTGAACTTTTCAGAAATCGTCATCAAGACATCAAGATGACAAAGAAACAAGCTCCAAATCCACAACAACTGTTCCTGAGCAGAAATTTGTTCCAAACGTTTTCAGAAATGTCACAATCAAACCAGAAACAACGCGGAGACAAGATGAACTTACGGGGAGGTTACCATGTTACACAAGTCAGAGAAGTGTTTCAGTCAAGGTACATTACGTAGTATAAGTACAAAGAGCATCATCGATCTCCTTGTCATTTTATCATCGTCTAACAGCTATTCAGTCAGTCATGCAGTCAGCCAGTCAATTATCTACTTCAATTTAAAACAAGAAGAAAAAAGGAAAAATAAATTCAAGGATGAAATCAAACCGTAATATTATTCACATTTCTCACGAATTCCAACTTTCTGGGCAAAACTGTGAAGGACCAAACGGTTCTTTAGAAATTACATCAAGGTTTTTTTTAGCTATCGAACTTTAAACCTGCAATTCTTTTTATTTTGGGTAGCAAACTGGAAGAGTATGGTATGAGTATCCAAAATTCGGCCCCGCCCCATCCAGACCAAGTTCTGTTACGAACGTGTGGCAGAAAAGACAAGAGAAACAGATGCTGCTGGCGGAGCTACAGCCTTCTGATCAAAATGATGAAGAATTACAGCTACAAATGGCCTTGGAACTGAGCAAGAAACAAGCAGAAATTGACGAGCAACAAAGGTTAGAAACTTAAAAAAATAAAGTAACAAGAACACCTGCAAACGGTCATGAAAAATCAGGGAATATTATATCTTTAAAGAATACAACTCTGAAGAAATTTGGAGTTTGACCTAAACAATTTTCATTTTTGTTCACAGAGAGATCACCTTACTGGAGAGACAGATGGAGGAAACACTCCAGTTGGAGAAAAAACTTAAATGTCAATCCAGCAAGGTAAAGATTCAAGCCAAACAAGCCACTGTTATGGGTCATGACAGTTTTCCACCGCTAGTGGGACATGTTGATGATGAGTGGGTGCTACCTTCGAGCGGTGAGAATAAGGGCGAAGGAAACGAACAAGAAAAAAAAGACTCCAGAAAATTTGCTCGCAACAAGGGCGATGATGACAATGATAGTAGTACTGAGACCTTAGAACGGTGTCACAAGTCCAAACCTGAATCCAAGATGGAGCACTTAAGAAAAGGAAGCGTTGAGGCGAATGGAGTAAATGATAGGACAATGTTTTTAGGCAAGTCGCACTTTCAATCGCCACAGCTTTGCCGAAGACACGATTCTGAAACCAATTCTTGTCCATACGGGAAAAATTGTTGCTTGGGTAAGCACTGCAAGTACTTACATCCGTCATCGATTGACAACCGTAAAAGATCAAAATCAGGTGAATTTAATTTGGGCAGTCAAGATCAGTGCGATTCTAAGGTTATTGACAGGGATAACAGATCAGAGCCAAGCTGCTTAACGGGAAAACAAATGCAATTAGTTGCGTCTTGTGAAGGGGTGGATAGAGAATCGGAACCCTGCTGTGGATTACAGAACTATGGAAAATCAGATGATGTCTTCATACAATCTACTGGCTTTTATACGACACAGAAATCTCGCTATGTTGGAGAGACGGACAATCCTAACACCGCGTTGAGAGAGGAACATAATCAGTGCGACATAGGTACCAGTGAATTTGAGAGCATAAACCAGTGTTCAAGATTCGACATTCCTGTCAGTAAGTCAAAGACATTACTGAACAACAGGTTTTCATTATGTGAGGGGACAACTGAAAATAACAGCAATGCTGATCAACCAGGTCTCTGGAACAAGAAATACGCACCAACAGGGAATCCTCAGAAAGATGCCAAATGTGGTTCAATCTTGTTTAAAAAATCCTCGTCAGGAGCAACATCAAGTGCAGCCATTACTGTTACAGCTCCAACTGTGTACGTTGTTGCAGATTCTCAGTTTCCTTTTGGAGCACCTGCTGGTAAAGGCCTCCACCAAGCAGCTTTGGGGTTACGATCTAATGCCAATCTTTCAAGTGAACAGAAACCACAGAATTCACCGGGAGCCTTTAACCAGTCTTCGAGTTCGGTTAACAATAGTGAAAGACAGATTACAGCAGCCACAACAACAAAAGTAATGACTCAAAGCCGGAAAGAAACCTCTGCGGGTCCTGGTCCTGGTCCTGGTCCTGGTCCTGGTCCTGGTCCTGGTCCTGGTCCTGGTCCTGGTCCTGGTCCTGGTCCTGGTCCTGGTCCTGGTCCTGGTCCTGGTCCTGGTATTTCTTTACTTCAAACTGCGTCAGTGTCGTCTGAAATTCTGCCAAGTCCACGCTGTAGTTCTAGTACTTCTCTGCAAACCCCAGCAGCCATTCAGACTACGACTACTAATATTTTCCCGGTATTTCCTGGTTTTCCGTTTCTTCCATTTGCCAGTGTTTATCCTTGTATTAATCCAGCAAATGCTGCTGCTTCTGCAAGCCTGATGGCGGGATCGACAGACGAAATATCCTTTCCAGTGACATCTGGAGAATCTAGTCAGCATGAAGGATCTTTCGTCTCGAACCAAGTAATACTACGAGCTCACCTAAAGGCTGGTCTCAGTGGTGGGTTGTCACCCTTAGGCCAGGTTCTTCCAACGCAGAATGCCCCATCAATAATGGCTGCGGAAGGAAGGAGTGAGTTAGTGCCAAACCTAGCGCAGCTCTCCGAACCGGGCGACCTTAGTGAGCTCCAGTCTCCAACCTCAATGCTACTAAAGCCATTTAATGTCCCATTTCCATTAATCAACCCTCTATCATTTGTTAACATCAGCACAGGGATGGCTTTAGGGACACCATGCTCAGTGCTTAAGAATGGCTGCCAAACTAGTTCTACCTCGGTGCTAACTGCCCCATCTCAGGTGCAAGGTAATGATAAAACCAGAAAGCAGTCCAAAGTGGAGCAAAAAGGAACGGGTGTTAACACTCCCACGAAGGTGAAACGTGATTTTGGAAAGGAAGATGACGCTTCTGCTGGTTTTGGCGGGAAAACGAAGATGCTTAGAAGACCTATTACAAGTGAGTGTAGGATCTTGCTAATCTTTTAACTCCCAAAAGTGATTAACATGCAACTTCTCCCAATAATATCCATACATTATTGAGCAAACAGGTAATGAGATTACTTAAAGTTATCAGGAAGATGTTATCTGGATATAAACTCACAAGGAAAGATGTAGCAGTCAGAGGGGAGAATTAACAATCAGATCTTTGGAGTTAAAGTGTCGTGATACAGTGATCAGAAGAAACAGTAAACAATCTGAAAAGACAAGAGTATCAGTTAAAGAGAAAGAGGAAGTTTCACGATTAATTTACAAGGAATCCATTCTGATTGCTTGAAGGGAGAAAGAGTAATCGACATGATTTTGTAGGGCTCTTGAAGAAAAATTTAAAATGTTAATGTGAGTTTGTACTATCAATCACAAAGGTCTAATTTGGTAGAAGCTGCGTTCTGGCTAAACGATCTTGTTGCACCATTATTTTAATTGAGTTTTCGAGGCCGCTGTTTTGTTGTTCAGTTCGTTTACATTCATTGGATTTATTTGTCCTCTTCGTCTACAGTTCCTATGGTGATGCAGCAGCAAGCATCCAAGTAAATTTAGAGATTTTCATACATTTTTAGAAATGGCAGTACTTCCTTGGTGAGCAACAGGTGACAAGGCCGCCATACGAAGCTCGGAAAATAGTATCAAGACGAATCAATTTCCCAGTCAAAGACAGTTTGATACAGCTGTTGTTTGAATTTCGAAAATGATATTAAGTGCATGGTAAAATACATCGATTGTATATTAAGTTTGAATATTTATTGTTGATAAATAATGTTGCAATTCGTATTGTCTCTCACGGGAAAAGGCTACTATGTTAGAAAATAGAGATATTTATTGACGAACATCTGAAAACTTAAATCAGAACAACAGACCAGAAGTAATATTTGATGGTTACCTTGAAATGACGCTTCGACAGACGCTTGTACTCTCAGAAGGGATATCACAACTTTGCAAATGTTTGGTTTGGTTTGGTTTGGTTTGGTTAGATCTTTTAGTCGTTACAGTTGAAAAAGTTTTCGATTTGACGTGGAAAAAGGCGTACGGAATAAACTCAGAACACTCAATCAGGAAACACTAACGGCAAGTTTACCCTCTGATTCATTTCACTTTTCCTCAAATCTCGTGTAAGGAGATTCTCCTCATACACACCCCGAAAAACAAAAAAAAATACCCCCTAATCACCACGAAAGCACATATTTTTACCGCTTTTCAAAGTGGCGGGCGAGCCGACCTGTGCATCTCCAATCAACTGACATAAATCTTCTCGTGAGTGTTCCGTATCTCAAATTATTTTGTATTAACTTCTAAGGGAAGTTTTGGAATTATTTTGCCTCTAACTTAGGAATTTCCCTTTGTGTGACAGAGAAATAAAAATAATGATTCACTTTTACTTACGAATTTCATTGTTGTTTCTGATTGCTTTGATGAAAAATGCTGAGATCTGACAATTTCTTTTGCGTATGTTCCCCTGGTTATTTTCGAAGCAATTCCCTGAAGTCCATAGGGAACTCAAAAGGATGCAGGCCAGTTGGACCAGCCTTTTGTCTCATTAAAACTGTAGACATTCAGATTCAATTACACAGGTTCGTGTGCAGGGAAAGTCATGCGCATAAACAAAAATATTGTTGTCAGTCGGGTGTAGATTTTTTCCTTATTTGAGTTCTCTTACAGTTTTAAGCCATTCATTGTGGTACATTGGTCTGTATGTCTAACAGCGTTTTATCACAAACGCTGCAAACTGATTGGCTACGCTAATCGCCAACTATTCTGTCAGAGTGCTGAGTCGCCTAATAAGTCTAATAACAGTGCACGGTTATAAACTCAATTGAATAAAAACGAGAGCCTCTTTTGTCATGAGATTTTAAACGATTAGTAGATTTATGCTAGAGCGATTGGAATTAATCGACTACGATTTCTGTGTTTGCTGATTTGGGCCATACAACACCTTTGTTCCCCTTTATTCTGCGTGACGAGCCCGAACAACAGTTGCGAAGGAGGTTAGTTTTTAAGGCTTGAAGGACACGGTAATAGGTAAAGAATAAACACACTTGTTCAGTTTTCTGTGATTATGTCCTCACAGACTCGCTAGTAGTGAGAATTTTGGTATATTGCAAGTTACGCATCGCGTGACCTTTAAGTACTTTACCCCGACTGGAGTAGGGTAAGCCCATCACGGTCAAGGTACTGGAATCGACAATGACGATGTTTTGTAAACTGTAAAAAGAAACATGGCGGGTCCGATTATGGACACTGCTTGTATTACATATGAAGGGGTTTCTTTTGAACAAGATCTATTCCCAAGAACTAAAGAGCCAATATGGATTCTTGGAAAGAATTACTCTACCAACAAAGGTAGAGATAACTTCACTTTCAACCCTGATCTCGTGAAAACTCATATTTGCCACAACGCAACTCCGCTGTAAAATTTTTCATTTGCTTTGTTATTGTTTGGGCGTCAGCATTAACTCCTGCGTTATCTTGAGGATGCATTCATGCGCTAATCTACAGTAACTGATTTAACTCGTGCTGCTGATGTGTTTCATTTCTTAATTGAAACCTTTTTGTGGAATGGCAATTGAGACGTTTCAGTTTTGTACAGAGATGAATAATTTTTTTTCCGAATGTGAAGCGAAAGTAGATATTTCCGTTTTTGTTGTAGATATGCAGTGTTTGCGTGGACTTGATTGTAACCCATGCCTGACTTGTTCATTTAGCCATGATTCAGGAACCTAATGGTGTCAATGCAAACAACATTTAAAAAAATATATTTTAACATCATTTTACTAGTAGAGAATCTAAATTTACCTAGGCTTTAACTGTTTTTTTTTAATTTCAGGAGAAGATTCAATTCACATTCTAAGAGATATTAGGTCTAGAATTTGGTGCACATATAGGAAGAATTTCTCAGCAATTGGTGGGTAAAATAATTTAATTTTGTCTTGAAAATGAGACGTCAATGAGTTGTCAACTTTATCATCAGCCCCTTGAACTCTGGTTCAAGAGGTCCAAGCCTATGTTTAATTTCACCTGTCAATATAATTGGTTCCCAGAAAATAATAAAGTTAGAAAAAACTGAAAAATTCTTGCTGGTGGCTTGAGAGGGACAGTTATCCCAATGTTCACAGTTAAATGCCTTGTACTAAAGAAACAAGGTCAAGATTTGACATGACTGTTGACTGGTGTGTATGACTAGGTGTCACATTTTTTTTTGTCCCTTTTGGCTATTTATAATTCTTCTTGTCTGTCCCACAGGAGGCACAGGGCCAACTGCTGACAGTGGCTGGGGGTGTATGCTGCGATGTGGACAAATGATTCTTGCAGAGGCTTTGATTTACAGACATCTCGGAAGAGGTCAGACTTCCTTGAATTCTCTTGAAACCATAATTATATATGATAACAAGTATAGCACAATGAAAGTTGTAGTAACCTAACCTTAAGTACCACTACAAGCTATCTAAAAACAGAAACTTTCTCTCATCCACTTAGTGGCCACATAGGATAGCCTATATTGTAATCAAAGACAATATTTTTTAGCAAAAGCAAATTGTTGTTTAAAACTGCAAAATTCTGTTGTTGATCGGTTATCAATTTTCCCTCTCAGTTTATTGATTAGCATCACTTAACATGAAATATGTTCATTGGATATTTTGTGAAGTGTTGATTGGGCTATTTATAGATTTTTCCTCTTCTCATACAAGCTAAAAATTAAAAGAACCTATAATGAGTTTTTTTATACTTTATAGACTGGCAGTGGGAGCCTGATGACAATAATGTTGTTTACATGCAGGTATATTAACCCTTTCACTTTCAAGATCTGCAGCCTGATTCTCCTGACTATTTTCTATACCTCTCATTTAATGTTTGTTCAGAGAATTACGTGTTGACTTAAATTAATTGTGGGATTGATATTTTTTTCTTTTTTTTCTCATCGCCACCCTCCTTGATATGCAAGGGAAATGACTTCTTAGTCATTCCCAGGAGTAAAAGGGTTAACTAGGACTTTCTCCTTATCAATATGTGAATTAAGTTAAAGGCAGAATATTGATTTTTAGTACTGTGACATAAATGTGTGATAGATGACAATAATTGAATTTGTTATGTATGATTATTAGATTTTACAGAATTTTCTGGACAAGAAAGATAGTTTATATTCTATCCATCAGATAGGTGGGTGAAACACAACAATGATAAATTTTATAACTCCTTTAAGTACAAAATGGAATGATGAACTCTTGACACAAACTGATATTTACTGATATATTTTACTGATCTTTACAAAAATTAAAAAATCTTTTATTCTGATATCAGCTCAGATGGGTGTATCTGAAGGCAAATCTGTGGGGAGTTGGTTTGGACCAAACACTGTTGCACAAGTACTCAAGTAAGGTCACACTATTCTCTCAGTCCAGATTGTACAGCCCTACTCTGTACAGATATAATAACAGTTTCCTAGTTTTGGATGTGCCACAACATAGAATTTTAAACTTGTTTATTTTTTTTAATTTGTTATGTGCACTCTTAGGACACAATGCTTTATACTAACTGTTGCATGATGGATTTACATTTTAAAATCACTTGATCAAATTATGGTTCTTCTTGATCTGCAGAAAACTAATGTGCTTTGATGACTGGAGTTCCCTGTGTATTCATATTGCCATGGACAACACTGTTATAATTAATGATATTAGTGAGTTTTAACAGTAATTATTCTTTATAACATAAATGATTTAATTTGAAATGTCTTTGGCTGATTCTTTTGTTGGCCTTTCCTGTGCCTTTCTTGAAGGTGGGTATAAAGGTTTTCTGGAATCACACAATTATTGTTCTAGTGTTATTCTAAATCATTGCATGATGTTATATTTAAGGATAGAAACTGATGTGAAAAGCAAGTTATTTAACCTTTCTGTGCAAGGACACCCAAGAGATCTCAAAAAATATCCACACAAGCAAAGATTTCTATCAAACAACATTCAGTTCTACGCTAATCTTCAAGTGTAAATAACCTTTTTATTCCTTTAGAAACTCTTTGCAAAAGAGATTCACCAACAAAGACTCATGGAGAAGCAACAAGCTGCAGCCGTACATCGGCCGGGGTTGGAAGACAGAGAGGAGCAGTAGGTGGATCAGACACAAAGGATGGCACAAAACACAGACGACAGGGCTGGAGACCTCTTTTATTGTTTATACCACTTAGATTAGGGCTGTCAGAGATGAATTCTGTTTATAATGAGCCATTTAAGGTGGGTACAATAATTTTTCACCTACTGTATGATTGATTGTTAAATCAAAGGCTGTAATGACCAAAATGTTCCTGTCTGTATGGCGGATGACAAGATAGAGGCTTGGTTTTCAATACCATAAAAGTCTGAAGGAAATTATTCTGAAAATTACAGATGGCTCCAAGAGGATGAAATGGATTTGACTTGGTCACAAGGTGACCTGTTCCTCTCTCTTTCTACTCAAATTGGAATTTTATCATTATTATGAAATTGCTTGATTAACAGTGTGGTGTCAGTATACATATGACTTGCCTTCTGCACTGCCTCCCCACCTTGCTGTCTAGGAGTGTAATTTTGGTTATGTTGTAATGAGTGTGGGTATTCTGTGACAGACTAGCTCGAGTATGGATGGGAAGTAGAATTACTGACTAAAAAGTCACTCAATGATGAGAGAATTGGGATAAGCTCCAGCCATTGTATGCCATTATGTGTGTTCCGTAGGCTGCAATGCAAAATTATTTAGGCCATGAGCAGTCCCCTTTTCTCAGCATTGTCCATTGAACAAACATCATAGTTTGTAAAAATGAAATTCAGAGCCATTCGAGATCTGGAAATGGGTTGGTACTCTTTTTCAGCCACTTTCTCCCTGTTTATTTTTGTGAGGTACCAATGCAAATTCCTTTCACTTACACACTAGAAAACTTAGAAGAAAGCTCTTATTGTACTCTTAAAGTGATGACTTTTGTTGTTTTTCAGGCTTGTTTCACATTTAGGCAATCAGTGGGCGTTATTGGAGGAAAACCCAACCATGCGTATTACTTTATAGGATATTACGGTAACTATTTTTAAATGTTCTGTTACTACAGTGTTTTTCAGCAAGTGATTAGAGGCAGTCCAAAGATCTGGAGAGGAGTTGTTTGCACATTCAAACATACGATTATTTTATCCTTCAGTGGAATCTATTTCTTAAGTTTTACTTAATTGCATTGACGTTTTTGTCACCCCCGTGTGAGATTGGTAACGTTTCCAGATTGCTTACTTGAAGATGACTCACTTTCTCATATTTCCTCTGACTAAAGGAAATACTCTATTGTATCTCGACCCCCACACGACACAACAGGCTGTGAACCCGGAGAAATTGAGTCAAATCCCAGATGAGGTAAGAATGTTGGTGTTCCGCACGAAACGCTTGTAGTGAATACTGTTTACGTATTCTTAGGTTTGCACGAAAAGGAATAAAAACGCCATCGTACTGTTATGGTGGTCTGAGTCGATAAAAGAAAAGATATCTTTAATGAGCCCTATCAACTGTCATTTAACAAGCTTCCCCGTTCGTTATAGAGGAGAGCCCCTCTTAACTTAATACGGGATGAGGAGATTATATGCGACGTGGGAGACACGCATCAAACTTTTCTCAAAGGGAACTCTCGCTTGTTACACTTTAGTTTTGTTTTTACCTTCTAGAAAACTAGCAACATCACGGTTTTCATTAAACTAAGACTTTACTTCGGCAATTACTCAAACTGGCTGTGTTTGTTGTACTTACAGAGTTATCACTGTGCATATCCGAGCAGGATGAACATCGCAGATTTAGACCCATCCATCGCTTTGGTAAGGAAAACATTAAATTCTGAAGTCTCTAGAACATCGTGGCATCCTATATCCAACGTTTGGCGCTTCTTAAAAAAATGTAAAAGCAGGGTTAAACCTTTTAAGAATGTGCGTGCGGCTTGCAGACACAGTTCCGCAACCAGCGCATCAACAATGGCAAATCTCGTCAGTCTTATTTGCATCAATCCGCGAGAGGTTTTCCTGAACTTAAGTAGTAACAGTGTAGTGGAAGCAGTGGTTAAAGTTTATATTTTCAACAAGTCAGGTAACTTGCACTGAACGTAAGTTGAATCAATTTATAAAAGTCTTTAGCCGTGGCTAACGAACAGAGACCTCAGTTCTGTGTTAATGAGAGAGATAATTAGAGATCCCTCTATTTGGAGTTTTTACGCTGATTACTGACGATTATTTTTTTGCGTTTTGCGCCTTTACTATGAGTTTAATACCTCACGATTTCCGTGCAGAAGACCTCTCTTGGCATAATACTTCTGATTTAAAGCTTGATCATTGTCTAATCCTCTTGATACTTATGTAGCCCCTGTGCTGTTTCAAGAAGTGTTCAGATTTCCACACCTTTCTCCGATTTGATATGCTTAAGAAACTTTCTATTTCCAGGCAGAACTTCTTGTTACAAGACAAAAAAAAATTTGATTTGAGAAACTATGCCTCGTGATAGCTTCCAGTGTGTCAGAGAGCTCGGCATTTATGTATTGATTATTATTTTGCGCGCTCACCGAACAAAGCTGAAAAACAGGAACTGATTGTGGTTTTATGCGAGATAACAGGGGTGGGGGTACATACATTTTCCCCGCATATTGAGATATGGATAGCGACTGAAGGTAGTGTAGTGGGTCGGGAAGGGGGGGGGGGTGTCACCAAAAGATGTGCTTCATAAGGCTCTTTTACCGGTCTATTAGAGTAGCTATCCGAGGTAGCATTGTACAAATACCAGATTAGTGTCTCGTCTTTAATGTTCTGTGTGCTTTGTAGGGATTTTTCTGCCATTCAGAAGAAGACTTCGATGACTTATGTCTGCAAATTCATAAGGTATGTTTTTTTTTAAAAAAAACTTATTTGTCTGTTCTGAAGAGAGCGGCTAGCGGGGCTTGGCATACAGCAGTAAGGTAATCTGTTAGGAATATAGTTGGTTCTATCGCGGCCAGGCTGATGTATTTTGTACTAAAATGACATCTTCTTTCCTTGGTAGCATATCCATTCCGGACACAGGAGACCCATGTTTGAGCTAGCAGCTGTCAGACCACCTCACTGGCCATCATTAGAAATACCGCAGAGACCTGGTGACGAATTGAACCGCAGCCAGCAGTCTGGTAAGATAGTGTGCCAGTCACGTAACGAGAGTTTACTTATTTAGCAAGCTGAAACTAAATAACACGTATTTTTTTTGTCTTCTTTTTCCTGTTAGATTTTACTGAGCTTTCTTACGAGTCCGACGATACAAAGGAATTTGATACCGATGGAGAATATGAAATTCTGTAAACCCGCGAATTATATTTGAGTATGCAGTGGAGGAAGATTTCTTTCTAAGTGTGTCATTTGATAGCTCCGAAAATAAAATGATAACATATCTGAAGCCACATACGCATCGTATTAGTGTACGTTTTAGAAGTGTTCACAGCTTACATATTTTGCGCCATTTCCTTGTCAGAAACCATGACACGTATCAGAGAATCAGATAAAATAAAGTGTATTGAACAGCGAAAGGTGACCACAGTGATTAACTACGGAAGATTGTCTTTTTGCAAACCATTGTTCACAAAGATAGTTCCCAGCTATCTTGGAGAAGTGATAGAGGTAATAATATGTCAGGAAAAGGAATTTCACTTGTAAGTGCTTAACACTGACACAAACACGATTCAGTTTAAACTCTATAACAGTTGAATTTTTTCTCTTTTGGTGTTTAAGTTATATTGCACATCAATTTGTGGTATTCTGTTCACACCCGCCTCCAACCCTTAAAAGAATTGGGAAGGGACCCTTTTCCTTTTTTTCTTTTTTTTTTGAGGACTGGGGGCGGCTGTGCATAGGTATGATACGAAATTTTTGAAAATTTTTGGTGAATTTTTTGGTAATACGGCGAAAGAAGAGCAAAGAAAACCAGTTCAAGAGAAATTTAATGTATTACGATCAATAATTATACGAGTTGAATATATTTTAAGATGGCGTTGTTTCCTCATCAAAGAGAACAACACGTGTATATGGACATGGAAATTTATTTTTAATGTATAATTCTAAATAAAATTTCACGAAATTTTGCATCGTTGCTTGTGGTTCTTCTATGATTTGAAACCCAGACCTCTCTCAGAGATTTAAAACTCTACTACTGTGTCTCCCAGGAGACAAACTCTTGTCCAGCCTGACCCAGGATCCCTTTCGGTGGAGACGTTACACAATGTACATGTGGTTCGCGAACATTGAATATTGGATACCACCCTTTTTAAGCACGTAATGGTGCAAATTATACCACTTGAAGCAGCGCCAAACCTTTAAAAAGGATCTAAATTAAGCTTTGGCAATACTTGATAACATTTTAAAAGCTTATAAATTATCCTTAGTAAGGGCCTGAATTTATCTATTCACAGTAGCGACCCAGTTTTCCGAGCCCACACTTTGATAAAACATCTAGCGTCCGATACAAAGAGCGATATTGATGGGATCAGCGTCGGATAAATTTGATCATTTGAGCGAAAATCTGAATGTTTAGATAGAGGTGTAAGTTTTCCAGAAACCAGCCTTACAATTTACTTTTGCGATCATTTACCTCGAAGATGGCGAAACTGTATACCATCAAATTTTGTACCAATCATATAGGATTCTTCTTTTTTTGTACGAACTTCACATCAATGCCGCTTTTATTTTCATGAACATTAAAATACCGATGCGAGGTGTGAAGAGGAATTCAGTCGATAACAATTTTAGTTTTTTCCGGTTGAAAAACCTCAACAGCATCTGAAGGAAGAGAAGTCTAATAACTTCTTCCCCTCTTTTCGAGAAAAATGTATAGTCACAGGGAACGTTTTTGTTGTGTGATCAATGCTTTACCGCCTTCAGTATGCCCTCTTGTTTAGTTCCATATGTTTTGGTGACGAAAAATTCCACCGCGAAATTAAATGGACCTTACCCTTCCTATCAAAGATAGCAAAAAACCACCATATTTCCAGTATCTTCGTCAAACACATGGCGCCGAAATTCTTTTTTGAGCGCAAATGTCGCAAGTTTAATCGCACGCACGACAAGTCCGGACAAGACAAATTAACAGACCCCGCAGTAGGATATCAAGTTGATTATTCCCGTTATCGTGGATGATCTTATTTTCAAGAGGAAAAGGTCGCATTCGGGGCAGTGTGCTTTAATCTCTGTCAGTCTTCAAACAAGTTTAACATCTCTGGTGGGATCTGAGAAGACTTTGTTTTGATTTGAACTCAATCCAAACACTAACGATAGATTGGAAAATATGACTAAGTATTTGAATTGTTTTCGACGAATTCGAGCCTGCGGAAATTACCTCGATATCTTTAGATCTGTGATTTTGATGGCAACGTTTTTCTCACTCGGTTGACAGCCAAGCTATGAAACAAAACAGTCTCCAGTACTGTGACTGGTTTTGGAGGCAGGAAGCTTTCGTTGTCAACAACGAGAAGTTTTAATACCAATGCGTTAAAAGTTGGCGGAATGAGATAGAGTTTGATTGAAATAAGATGGAGAAAAAGCCGACGCAAAATAAATTTTTCGCGCGGAGCATAAGAAAACAAAGACCGGAAACGTTCAACTTGCCGGAAGTTGGTTTAAAGCAATTACCATCAATAATGCCTGGAAAATTCACACCCGACTGCGACAGTTTATAATTCTATAGAGGTGTCCTTCATATGACTCCCCCTAATTGAGCAAAACAATAAAAGACTCACAAGTTTAATCAAACAATATTAGTCGGATAAACCCTTTTTACCGAGACCGAATCAAGTTTGGAAGAGATTTAGCGAGCGTTTCTTGTTAAAATCATTCAATCATGGAAAAGGCCATGTTTTGTTTTCGGCCTGGTTATCATGTGTTTGACACGGTCCGGATATTTCAACAAGTTGCTTCGGAAGCTATATTACATAGCCCCCAGGGAATAAAACAAATAATATGGCATACGAAGTTAAGGTTCAAGGAGCATTTGCCAATGATCCTACTCCTCTTAAGCGGTAATGTTTTGTTTCGTTCTTTTTTTTTATCAGATCTTAAATCGATCATACGTGTGGAAACCATAAGCTAGTCATTACCACGCCTGTACTGTAATGGTCCGAGATTAGTGCCGCATATAACGCAACGAGATCGCTGATTGGCTGGGTCTATTGTCGCGCTGTCAGTCGATACAATCGCCAGCCAATGGCAGATAAACATCAATTTACCCCCAATGGCTTCATGTGTATAGCGAGTAGTTTTCATTGCTGGGTCGTGTGAAGAAGTCAACAGTCTTGGTTGAGTGCAGATTTGGAAGTTTTTTCTTATTAACTCGTGCTAATCACGCGCGTGAGAAAAATGGAAGCAGGACCGCTAACGCGAAATTATCCGAGTATTTATGAATGTTTGACGAGCCATAGTTCCTCCATACCTCCGTTTGGCCTTCAGAGATCTGTAATTCCTGATAACGTAGAAATTACTCAAGACCCAAGCCATGGTTTTACGTACGCTGAGTCTCCCATGCATTTGCCAAGCTTGAGGACGGGCGCGCACGATTTTATCCACACACTATCAGGGGGTACCGCTCAAGGGGCATTTAACCTGCAGACCAATTATCCTGTCCCAGCGGCGTATTCGACGTTGGCTGCCCGTGGAAGAGAGTTCCTGCTACGCCGTGAACACACAGTAACGCTTCCCTCGGTATCGTTACCAACTCACACCATCTCCGCGGACGTGACAACTTCGTCGGCGAATCTTGTTGTTCCACCACCGCCCCCTTCTGCGTTTCAACAAACGATCTTCACAACAAGCAACGCTGCGCTCCATGCCATAAATATCCCGAGTTTTTCAAGCACCACGGCTCCACCGCTGCCGTCGCAAACGTTTGGACAAAATGCGCAACACGCCGCCAGTTTCACCAACTCAAGTCTCTCGAATGTTCAAGCGTCACCAGCATCTGAAAGCAGCAACAGTAGCGGTGATTCGTCAACAGAGACCTCTCGTGTAACGGTGAATATCGGTGACCCTCAAGGAAGTATTGCATTGCCCCGTCCAAGCCCGCTAAATGCAATGAAAGCTAATTTTGTTCCCTCACCCAATAACGTTGTACCGTCCATGGAACTCTCATCTAACGGCGCGTTCTTCCGTTATATAAGACCTCAGGAAAAGCAGGAGTTTGTGTGCAGATGGACTCTTTTGCGGAACAAAATATCTGTTCCTTGCGATAAGAATTATCAGTCTATTCAAGATCTGGTAAAACATCTTTCTTTGGAACACGTTGGAGGGAGCGATGGAAATTCCTCCCACGTTTGTCTATGGAGCGATTGTCACAGGGAAGGCAAGCCGTTTAAAGCCAAATACAAGCTTATCAACCACATTCGGGTCCACACTGGAGAGAAGCCATTTTCGTGCCCTTTCGCAAACTGCGGTAAAACGTTTGCTCGCTCGGAAAATCTCAAAATACATAAGCGCACCCATACTGGGGAGAAACCGTTCGTGTGTGAATTTCCTGGATGCAATCGTCGCTTTGCCAACTCGAGCGATCGGAAAAAGCATTCGCACGTTCACACTGCTGACAAACCGTACCTTTGCAGAGCGCCGGGATGTGGGAAAAGCTACACACACCCCAGTTCTCTTAGAAAGCATTTAAAGATGCACTTAAAGACGGCTAATGGCGATCTTTCATTGGACAGTAACGACAGCATGGCGTTCATCTCACAGGCGGAACTACAATTGAACAATGCTAACGCTTCTAGAAACATTCAGCCATGGCTTGCGTTGTCTCAGCAATCAACAAAAAATCCTAGTGCATCGAATTCTTTGGGTGTGAAAATAGAGCCCTCGAACTAAATTTAACACTGACAAATCTGAGAATAAGACATTGTGAGTAAACGGGACAGATCCAGTGCTGTTCTCACAAGTTTCCTTTATTATTCAGTTGGAACTCTACTGAAGGGCATATGAGACATAAGATATGATGTAACGATTTTTTACGTAAACGGAAATCGTTTGTTTTACTTCGACCACTATTTAAAAGCAAGAAAGATCCGAAATGTTAATTCTTAATTCAAAGGAAATCTAGCAATATTAGTTTCGTTTTAATTCTCGCACACAAAGATGAAACTCGCCGCGACTGTTCTAGTGGAAATGATGCCCGCTCGATTAGTTATGTGTTAATTCAAATCACGTTTATTGTAAATTCCTACGCCTAATTTGTGTGGAATCATATTTACAAAAATAAAATGGATATCATCGTTCGCGGTAAGAGTGTCTTAAAGAATAACATAGATGTTCATTTTCAAAGAAGGAAAGTAATTTATTTTTCAATCTATTTTTTCAGGCTCACATCCAAGCTTGTAAAACACAATACAAATAAAGATAGTGATGAGAGACGTATCCTGTGTCTGTGAATTTTATAACGATGTTTGACTTAAGGACCAGTTACTGAGTAACCTAGGGTGGGACGGAAATACATGTCGACACTCAATAGCATATTATCTGATGTTATATTGGGAACTTACATTGGGGGGTAGAACCCACGGGACACCCTTATGACTCTCATCTCCAAAAAGACTGACTTAAACAAACGCGATTTGCGAGATCGTCTTATTACATGATCTGTAGGGCCAGGTTCAAGTTTCTGAGATAAAAACAGTGTGGATTTAAAACTCGTAGATCATTGGCATATCACACGTACGCCAACTAAAGTTAAAGTAAGGACCAAACGTGATCTGTGATAGCCAACATTTCAGCACTCTTCTTAAGTTGAATAAAATCCGCGCTTTAAAAGTTAGCTTTATGACGTAAGTACTGAAGTTAGCCGTCAGCCAGAGTCCTTTTTCAAAGCACTTGACTGGTTCCTTTACAGTATTGTTGTAGACCTGAATTTCTTTATCGCCATAATGCGCTGCGCTCTCTTTGACAACATAGAATGTTGCTTCCCCCCAACTGCGGGTCAAGATGTGGTTTGTTCAGTTCTTCCGTGTGTTTTGACTGTGTATTTAAATCACTTTTCAAACAGGCCACCAAAGGATTGACGCGTGGCAAACCCGAATTCATTTCAACTTTATTATTTGTAAGCTCCACCTGAGTTTTCAATTCAATCATGACTACAAGCTGCTCAATTAATAGATGAATGTCTGGTGCAACAGAACACATGATTGTCGTTGAACTAAGATCATGTGTTCCATTAGATTTACGTATGGAGATGCGCTGACCTTTTTAGTCTCATTTGATCAGCCTAATGGTCAATCGTGTTTATTTGTCCCTGCACTCTTGAAAACAATCCCCACTTCTAAAGCAATCTACTCGTTGAGGAAACGTGCTGGTACAACTTAAACAAACAAGTTTGTGGGACAAACATCTAATTGTTTTGATAAAATTTTTTTTCACGAAAATACTGTTCTTGCTCACATTTATCGAGGAAAAAGATATGATCAATTGTACAACGAGGTCACGTTTTTTCCGCCCGCAACAAAAATAAAATGTTAGTTTTTAAACAATTTTCCGTTTTAGTCTTAAATAGTTTAAGACGTTTTATCTATGCTATCACAATGTTTTTATATGCCTCACACGAACTGTCCGAGTTTACAAGTATTTTTACACATTGGTTCATATGTGTTTGGTCTGTCTGAATCCAATTGACGCCAAGTCGTGCTCCAGTCTGTCAGGAGGGCGGCACAAGTTATAAGCCGTGAATATTTTCTGTTTATCGCAATCATCGTGGGTAGTATATTTCATTCTTTCGACAAGATTTATCATGATTAAGTTGTTAGGTAGATGTGCGACGCTCTTGACATGTAATAAATCTTATAGACGCCATTTGGCTGATCTAGGCTTTATAAAAAACACAGATATACTATACTTGGTTAAGAGTACAATAATTCGAATCATGATCCCAAATAGCTGATAACATACTCGAGAAAAGAAAAAAAAAACAAGAAAAAGAAGAGTAACCAAGTTTGATGATCATCTTACAGTTCTCTGGTTAAAGTTAGCTTTCGGCTCTTCAAGAGCTTGAATTTAATGGCGCGTGGTGGAAAATATATGGGAGTCGAAAGCGTGAAAAATTAGATTTAAAAGGATAAAATAGGGAAAATTTGAACTATTTTAGAGAGAAAATTGTTTTAAAAGCGACTTGGAGTTAATTCCTGATACATAAAGTTATACTAGTTACGTTTCTCCCAAGTGCACACAAGACCCATCCTTAGGATAATTCAAATATCATTAAAATTCTGCCGACGAAAAAAAAAATGAAAAGGTTACGACATTGCAGTTCATCTGCTAGAGGCATCGTTCCTTAAAAATTCGGAATTTCCGAGCAAAATGACAATTTGAGCTAATTTAGCGGAGGAACTCCTATTCGGGTCCAATTTCTTGTGTTTCTCTGGTAGGAAGTGTGACGGGCAGTTACCCCGATTGTACCGATTCACGAGAAGTATTCCTTTTTGACCATTCGACCCCTGAGAGTGACTTGGATCAAACTTCTCGTTACAAGGTCACTCCTGAATCAAACATCAAGATTACGAAAGAAAAAAAAAAAAAAGAAAAAAAGCTCTTGATTGTTACACAAATTCTCCTCGTCGCCACTCTAGGAAATGTCTAGAGAAAAGTAAGGAGAATGTGCATAATAATGTAAAAGGGTTAACGAGCGGGAAAGCCGCGTTCTTAACTGAGAGCAGAGAGCAAATCCGTTTATGACGCCTCGTTGTTTTTCGTTGCAGGGGAAGCCTGGGAACCAAACACTTCACCTCCCCAGATTGAGGTTAACTATGGGACAGTTTCTCTTATCCGTTTCACACACAATTTTTCTTCCTCAATTTATTCACGTCCGTTCAATTATCAAACCATTTCTTCTCCAAGTTCTTCAAGACAACATCGATATAAATTAGTTGCCACCAATCAGCTTTCATTTGTCCAAAGACGTTTCAATGGTGTCTTGCTGAATTGTTCTTCAAGTTCAAGAAGAGTATTCCGTATCTCCTCATGAATTTCATTTTTGTCTTTCATAGCGTCTACCACCTGTACATAACAAAAACCGGAGAAACAAAAGAAAACAAGATGTTACTTCTCTGCCTCTTGGAAATAAAAAGAGTAGAGAGTATCTACTCATGTATGTTATTCAATCCTTCTGTCACCCGTTGTCAGTTAGTTAAGCTCAATATGTAAAATAAAAGCTACAAAAAAATTACAGATGTCAACTGAAGCACAAAATAATGATTATGCTTGTCCCTTTTATTTTTCTTTCCATCCAGATTTAGACAGAACCACTGGAGCCTTTCAATCAAGGGTATCTTTATCACCAAATTTATGGTCAAAACAAACTCAATAAAAACCTCACTATTTTTACTAACATTCCATCTTTGCCATCACATACTACATTTAAATTCCACTGGGCTTTGAAGTCTTGATCAGATAATCTCAGCGTGATAAGTCCATAAAAAAATCTCCCCAGGGCAAAACATTTTTACTTACAGTTCAAAAATGTTAGTAGTGAAGATCAGGGTACCAGGAATTGTCTCTCAGCAAAAATGCATAAGAGGGATTTGAGGGAATTGTTTAAAGGGGGTCCAGGAGAACATCAGAAAATTCTATTGTCTCCTCCTCTGAATACATTTTCATCTACTATGTAATATTGCAAAAGCATGCTCCATAGGTGTTATAATTGACCTAACTTAACTGTGCATATAATTCACAAGTAGAGCATTTAGTTGTTGTGTGTGTAGGATCAGAAGAGATAAGCTTAGTTCAAGTGTTGGAGAAATAGAGTTCCTTTGTCTTATTTTTGCAAAACCTGAACCATCCATGGAACCAGAGCTTGGTGGTATTTACCTTCCAATCATTACTTTTAAGTTGTTCATAAATCTCAGCGACTCGTTCTTGGAATTCAGCCTTCTCATATCTTTCCTCCCCATAAGATCCTCTAGTTTGTGCATCTTTTGTTGAGATGTCTAAATAGAATATTAAATCAGGATCTGGCAAGCCCCGATCAGGATTCTTACACCACGTCACATCGTAGCCCTATCAAAGCAAACCAATGTTAGACTTTTCTAAAGCTATGAGCAAAAACTCTGATCAATAAATAAGAAGTACCATGGTTTATATAAATTACAAAGTACAGAAAAAGTTTAAGTCTACAAAATATATAAGGAAAAGTAGCAGGTATTTTGCAATATCCTCCCACCTTGGCTGCTGTAAAAGCAACTCCTGAAAAAGCATAACGATCCACAACTACAAAGGTTCCATTGTCTAATAGTTGCTTTATTCTTGGTCTGAAACCGGAGAAAAGTTGTCAAAAATACTTTGATAAATATAAATAAATAAAATAAAATTGTGTAATAATTTCTCTAGAATTTATTGAGGGTAGCAAAGGGATTATAAATCACCTCTGATTAAGCAAAAAAGACTAGGTAAGGCAAAATTTTTCTTTTCAAATCTGTGATGCATGATTTTCCTAAAATGTGTGTGTGAAACATGATCAAGAACCCCCTCCCCCTTCTTTATTGTAATTGAAATATGGAAAGCTTCTCAAAGGAGAGGATTTTGCCACAAAAAAGAGCAAGTCATTCAGGGAATGTGAATGAAGACCTTTAAAGGTTTAAATTAATCCTCAATCCTTCAAGGTAAAAATCTTGGATGGGTAGATAATTCCCTACAAGGTTATTTTCTCGCTAGATCTTGTGCAAGACTAGCTCTATATGAAGTCACACAGATGTGGTCAGAATTAAAAACCTTTCACATCTCAGCTATCATATCTTAACATGTCACCTAATTTGGAAGAGCCCCACCAACAACCCTCTGCTCTCTGCCCTAGGAGATACCCCACTACACCAGTTCACACCCCCCTCCCACCCAGCAACCATAGACCCAAATGTAAGTGGAAAGAGGACATCAAGGAGATCTAAAGGTGCATGCATCTCTCCCTCCATCTCGTTCCATCTCATCTTGTGGTGGATACATAATCAATCCCTTTGAATACTAAGAATGTAAAAGTCAAATTATGTCAATAATTTTTTAATTGAAAAAAAGCAAATAAAGATTGTTGGACTTAGTAGATGTCACCTACACCGACTCCCATCTGTTGGCAGAGAACAGTAAATGAATGGCATGATCTTCTAACTCTGTTGTTCCTTGAAGATAATCATTAATAGATTGTCCTATGGCCGTTGTTCTGTCTGTAGACAAACAAAACACTCTAGGATACATTGCAAGACAAGAAAAGCCAAGAATACATTACTTCCACAAGAAATAAACATGTAGCTTCTTCTTAAACTCTAAATACACTATTTTGTAAACATGTGATGAGAATTGACACACTTAACACGACGACACTGATGTATCACCAAATTCCCTATACTTATTTATAAGGCTGTGTGAAGTAACTAAAAGGGAGAATTAAAAATCAGATCGTCATGGTAGGATTGTGGTTTGAGAAATGAAGCATCAAGAGACACTGCACATAGGCAACTGCCTTCATTAACCAGTGTAAGCCACAAACGTGATCGTAAGGATATAAATGGTGTTTGAGAAATCATTGTGTTATCAGTGGAGAAGAAGCAAATTTCCTAGTTTCATGTCAATACAACATATTACTGAAAATATTTCTCAAAGGAAGAGATAGCCTTTAATTTACCTGGAAAACGCAAATGAGCTACATCTCTTCCAATCGATTTCAAGTAATCTACAAGCATTCTACACTGTGTCGATTTCCCACTTCGATCGCAGCCTTCGAACACCACCAAAATACCACGACCTCTTCGTGCTACGGAGCTCATCATTATTCTCAGAAATTATGTTATAGTCTATACGACCCCAATAAATAATTAAACTGTCTCAGGCATCAACCGAGGAAGCGAAAATTAACGTCAAAGTTTTGGCGGATTTTGGAATAATCGGTTCCAGTCTTTCAAACGGTAATCGCGATTGCATGTCACGTAATTATGACACCGTGACTCAGTGCTTGGTATGAACCCCAGTATAAAATATCCATTCTTTTTCTTTCCTACTATAACATGAATTTGTCAAACGAGGAACAGCGAAAAGTATTAGTTTTCTGATCGAAAAGAAATATACTAGGCGTAGATCTCGTGGGTTCGATCTGGTACCGAATGAATTGAGTTATGGTATAATGAGTTTCAGAGCTACTCAAATAAGCCGAGTGTCGAGCCAATAAAATAAAACTCAAAGAAGAAGACTTGTAGCACCTTCAGCAAGTCATGACGGGTGATGTTGAATTTGTCCATTTTCATGCAAATTTGGTTTGTATAAAAGTACAAAGCCTTTTTACCGTTTACTTCAACCGACGGTTGAACCAAGTCACAAAAATAAATTAAATATTGCCAAGAAACCCACATAATACAATACTATAAAAATTATTACGCAATTGAAACGTAGCAATATCGTGAAGTCAGAAAAACATCGTTCACGGAAAATCAAATTTCAAATCACGAATTTTTAAAAAGTTTCTAAGTAATTACCATGTCACCATACTGTACGATACAACTCCTATGTTTGGCTAGCACTGAAAATAAATTGCACCTGTTCCAGATGTTTTAAGTGTATTCTAGAAACTAGATTTATTTCAGAGCCAACCTATAAATATTGATAACTTTTAATGTCTTAATTCTGTTCAAATGACTTTCATTACTGAAAAGGAAGTTTTCCTTCATTACCTTTTACCAGCTCGATTGTGTTACAGAATTGAACTAGTTATTCTTACAAAAAAATAAAGCAAGTCTCTAATCCACAGAAGGAAGAGTCTGCTCTTTTATCGCCTGATTGAAAATAAATGTTTTCCTGTTCATTTGAACGTATAAAGCCACTTGACCATAACGCTTAACCAGAAAGTTTTTCAAAAACGTCACAGCAGTGTAAGTATCTTTATCCATTAGCTGTATCGATATTTGATTCTATTGTCGAAGTCTTGGTTCAGTTTTCTCAGTTTATTAGTTCTTGCTCGCTGTTGTGTAGACGTAGGCGATCAGCAATGCAAACAACCCAAGTAAAACAGGCAACGCCACTGTTAAAACCTTTTGATGTCCCTCTGCATTTCCATGTTTTCTCTCCCTCTTCATTCTCCTTGTTTCTTTGGACGCTTTTCCTGGTAGCTGCCTCATACTTGGTTAGGAAACAAACCAAAAGAAGACGTTGAGAGATCGTCAGTAAATTGTTCGACAAAGTTCTCTGGTCCTCTGTCACGCTACAGTGGCGATAGCCTTAACGACAACACGACACGTCATACGTTGATCTCAGAGCCAACGTTCCTTCTGACCAGCGGTAGATTTTCTTGAAAATACAACCATGTGGTGTAATGGTCATATGGTGGTTTGACTAGGTGAGAAGAAGGCGCTAGTTTTGTCGACCAATCACAGAGCCTCGTGAAGGAAAAAAAATACAATTTAGTAATTCTTTCGGCTCTCAATTAAAAATTTCCAAAATGATCAACGTAATAATCCATGAATAAAGCTGTCGGCAATAACATTTTTAATCTGTCTTCTGTGGAAGTAAAGTTGGAAGATCATTCGGTGCACTGTTGTTAATGGAATTTAGAAACATTGGGTGGGTATATGGAAATCATATATGTGCTCTGCGGTGAAGAAACAGGAATAAGCGATCCTCGCAGCTATGGACACTACCGAACTAGTAGTTGAAATAAGACCTGAAAAAAATTCAGGCCCGTACGTTTCAAGCGTTAGTCCTTTGTCAGAGCGATCGCACTGACGAAGGGCTAACGCCCGAAACGTCAGCTTTTTTACTCTTTACGGTGGCTAATTTACGTTTTCAATTCAGTTATTAACACTTAATTACTTGCTATACTCTCCTACCGACGCAGCACCACAGTTTCTCCAGAAACTTACCCCCTTTATTCATTTATGAATGGTGACACTTTCGTGGTTTACTTATGTAGAACTTTACGGTTTACCTTACATAAATTAGGAGTAAATTTAAGTTTTCCCTGGGCCAAATGTCTCTCTTTCACTGCGCAGGGCCCATACCATCAATACATCACAACTAACCCTAATTACGGACTAATTAAAACTATGTGCTTCTCGATCGTACATCCTAAACGAAACTTACGGATATGACAGTTTTACTTACGGTTGTCCTTGAAAAGAAGAATACTTTTTGAGACTACTGGTATTTCACATTATGAGCTCCTTTTTAAGTGCTCATTTTACGAGGAACGAAGAAAGCATTATAACTATCTATCAAACGAACGAACTTAAAGCTGTTAACAAGTAATTTATTAATGCTTAAAGTAATAAATCGCGTATAACTTGTTTAGATAACTTCCTAATCAACACTCATGGAAAGTTGTTTGACAAATCACTGCTTTGTGTGTGAATTTAAACCAATCGTTTTATAAACACTCGTCTCACAGTAATTACTTAAGACGAATATAATTTACCAAAACACCAGACTACAACGAAAACATATTACCTGTTCGTTTAAATTTATCCTACCAACCACCTGCTGCATAATTTATTACCATCGTCAGATCACGTCACTAAACGGACCGACTTGATCTCGGCAAGAGATTAGTTTGTTTAGAAAAAGCCGCCTTTATTTCCTTAATATTTACAATGTCCCTTCCTTTACACAGGAAATATGACTTGGATGTGCGGTGCGAAGAACGATGATGATGGATTCATGGATTATTTATCCCTTGGTCTTTCTGTTATGGAGTCAAGTCTGCTTGTGCACTAACCAACAAAATTCTACAACAAAATTCAAGAACTACACGGACATAGCGCTGGGATTCTTGAAGAACTATGAAGTTCAGGCAACAAAGATTTACTCTGAGGAGAGCGAAGCCGCTTGGAATTATGAAACGGACTTAACCGAGAACAACAGGAAACTCTCCGTTTTCAACGCGACTTTCGCTAAAGCGTTCAGTGTGACTGCCAGCAAAAATGCTTCTCTCATTAAAGATGTCGACTTATCAAACGATATGGCACGCCAAATTAGGATAATTCGCCGTAACGCCCTTCCTAAATCACCAACAGACATGAAGTCAATAGATGACCTTATTTCAAATATGACTAATATTTATAGCAGTGGAAAATTATGTACGAAAAATGAATATACCAACAAAACCCGCTGCTTCGAACTCGATCCAGACCTCAATGATTTAATGGCGAAGTCACGTGATTACGATGAGTTGTTATGGGGTTGGAAAAGCTGGCGAGACAAGGTTGGTCCTCCGATGAGACCGCTTTACGAAAAACTTGTCGTCCTTCTAAATTCCGGAGCTCGTGAACATGAATGGGGAGACTACGGAAATTTTCAACGAAGCGAATATGAAATGGGAAATGACTTTCAAACAGCTATCAAGAGGTTGTGGAATGAAGTCAGGATGTTGTACCAGGAACTGCATGCTTATGTGAGGTACAAATTACGCGAGAAGTATCCTCAAGTGCCGGTGAATGGGAGCATCCAGGCCCATCTCTTAGGGAACATGTGGGCCCAGGAATGGAGTTTAATCTACGACATTGTAAAGCCCTTTCCAAAAGTTCCATCACTGGATGTTACACCGAACTTAATCAAGCAGCAGTACACTCCCAAAAAGATGTTTAAACTTGCGCAGTCGTTTTTTGTTTCCTTAGGTCTAGATCCAATGCCGCAGACGTTTTGGAATAAATCCGTTATCAGAAAACCTAAAGGAAAACAGATGGTCTGTCACCCATCGGCCTGGGACTTCTGCAAAGGAGATGTTCGGTAAGGCGAAACAAAATAAGTTTCTTCCAGTCAAACTTGACTGACCAGATAGCTGACTGACTGACTGACTGACTGACTGACTTAATGACTGACAGACTGACAGACTGACAGACTGACAGACTGACAGACTGACAGACTGACAGACTGACAGACTGACTGACTGACTCATTCACAGACTTATTCACACATTCACTGACCGGCTGCCTAAGGTACTAACGAACCGACTACGTCAGTGATTTCTTTCTGACTGACTGAAATACAGAATGAACAAATGAACGAATGAGCAAGCGGGCGAGAGGGCGAGTGGGCGAGTGGGCGAGTGAATGGATGACTTCATAAATGAATATATGAAGACGGGAAGTACTTGATGAATCAATAAATTGATATCCTTGTTTAACCGATGGATTGATGTGTTTTGGTTTCGAGCAGATCGTTGTGTACTTTTTACTTAACAAACCTAAACAGATTTAAAATAGGTGAATGAATTTTGTTACTACAGAATAAAGATGTGCACCGGAATGACTCAGGAACATTTGATAACAATTCACCATGAGATGGGACATTGTGAATATGATCTCGCATACAAAGACCTCCCGTATGCCTACAGAAGTGGTGCCAATCCGGGATTTCATGAGGCTATAGGAGATACAATTGCACTCTCTGTGGAAAACCCAAAGCATCTTAAGTCCGTGGGACTACTGTACACGGTTGGAAATGATACAGGCAAGCAAGTTCTTTGAACTCTTTAGGTTAGATCTGAAAGACGCAGAGGGGCTTGAAGCAGAGTGATCTTGGCTTAAACCCAGAGAGATCTGCGTTGTATTGGACGTGTATTTAACCCTAGGAGTCATTATTGATTTAATTTCCCATGCTTTTATTAAACTTAGCTGCTGTCCAAGAATAAGCTAACAGGCACTATAAATATGTTCCTGAGGAAATTTATCATCTCGTCTGAAAAAGAAAATTCTAAAGACACTTTACTTCCCTGTCGTCAACATGCTGTGAAAACCTACATGAGTATTTGTTAACGTTGTTATTGCAGAGGCGGACGTAAACTTTTTGATGATGCAAGCATTACGCCGTGTAGCTCCCCTTCCTTTCACATTACTTGTCGACCAGTGGAGATGGAAGGTGTTCTCCGGAAGGATCACACCTTCAAACTACAATTCAGAGTGGTGGCGATTGCGTATGCATTACCAAGGTGTCATGTCACCAGTCCCTCGGACGGAGAAGGACTTTGACCCGGGGGCTAAGTATCACGTGGGAGCCAATTACCCTTACATCAGGTGATGCACAACTAATATATAGGATGCATCATAGTTCAGCCTCAAAAGCCAAAACTGAAAGTGATCACTACAACCAGTCAGAACAGAGGAAAATGTCACGAGCAGCTAAACTGTCTAAACGCGGGTGACCGAGTCGTGGTTGGTTTTGGTTTTGTATTTGATTGATCGAGAGAATGGCTCGAGTTTTTTAGATCAATTACGGAGCGAAGTGATGCAAAACCAGTCCAAACCCGGTTTACCAACTGAATTGATAACGTGATTTTTTTCTAAAGCTAAAGTTTCCAACGTTAGCCCTTCGTCAGAGCTGTCATCTGAGCTGTGATTCGAAACGCTCTAAATTAACTGAAAATTGTCAACAGCTTTAGTTTTTAAGGAAAAGGCTATTGAGTTTCAGTCGCTACTAGCTGTGACCGAAAGGTAACCAGTTGCAGTTCTCGGCCGCCAGGTTATTTCTAATAAACGCACATCGAGCGCTAACCAAAAGTCCGGCAAACAGCGACTTTTCATCGAGGCACTTATTTGAGGTAACATTCAATTGATTGTTTCATTTTTTATGCTAAATCTATTATTTTGCTATTTTTGTATACAGCTATTTCGTGTCACTGATCCTCCAATTTCAATTCCACCGCTCTCTTTGTAAAATTGCTAAGCGCGAAGGGAGTCTACATGAATGTTCAATCTACAAGTCAAAAGAAGCAGGCCAAAAATTCAGGTACAGTCCGTCAATTCATAAGTTAGTCCAGTATGAAAACACAATGATAGAGGATCTACAGAAAACAGAACTCTCGATTTGGTGGCATAACGAAGGGATATACCCTAATGTTTTTTAAATTCAAATAATATCCTCAAAATTTCAAGTTTCCTTCGAAATTCGATTCCCAAAACACAGATGTCAGACAATCTAGACGCCTAAGACATTGATTACCTTCAGGACTTTTTGAGATGAATAAATTCACCATATTTTGAGGAAATTTGTAATAAGAGCTGATTTCTGATGTTGATTGGGCGCTGTGTCGATGTAAGATTAAACTTAAGATTTAATCTATACTGAATTTACAACAGTACCGCTCGATCTGCTTATCATTTTTATCCCTCTCTGAAGAGAGATGCTCGCCGCCGGACGTAGCCGCCCATGGCCCCAGACCCTTTACCACTTAACAGGCGAGCGCGAGATGACAGCCAGCGCCATATTGGAGTATTTTGCCCCTTTACAACAATGGCTCGTCAAGTATCGCCTGGAAAAGGGATATACTATTGGTTGGAAGAAACGGAAGATGGTTCCAAGTCCAGTAGTAAATGGTGCCAGAAAAACATTATCATCTACAAAGTCGAATTCATCCATCACAAAACCTCAAGTGCTCCTTAATAAAACCCGGTCAGACCTTACAGAGAAAGGTTCAAAACCAGGCAACAATAATGGAACTGCCGATGTATCATTTCCAGAAGTCAAGAAAAATGACGATGCCATTAATTTAGGCAAACCAGATTTAAAAGCTGCCTTGGCAGCCATGGGGCCAGTACTAAAAACATCAGAAGAAAACTCAGGCAAAGATAAGTCACTCCTTGACCCTAAGTCTGACATCTTAGGGGCTAAGCCAATGTTTGTTCCTAATAAAATCAAAGATCAATTAGTGTTAGGTTAGTTGTTCCGGGGTTCCGTCTGGCTTGTGAAATGTTGTGCCCTCTTTTTTTTCCATCAGAATTAAGGTTGCAAAGATGCAAACCCTTATTTTGTCGGAATGACTTTCATTTCGATAAAGTTTTAGATCAAATATTTGATTGTGAAACAGAGAAGTAGCCGTGAAACCGATCATAGTCGGAAAGAACTGGGTCAAAAAGTGTTTTGCGCAGCCCAACATCAAGTAGATTTTCTCCAATTCCCCATTCGCCTTAGTAAGGACTGAAGGCGTTGGGACCGAGCCCTATGTACTCATTGGCTGAGCCAATATACGGATCAAGAGACTAACACACGCGTTGGTTCCTCAGAAATGGTACAGGGAGGATGATTGTTTACCACTCACGCAAATAAGTACGAAAATTTCCCGTAAATTTATTACGTAAAAAATAATTTTGTAAAATAATATTCTTAACAATAAAGTGCTTGCTATTATCGGTTATAAGTTCCTTGTCGTTCCACTCCGCACGAACTCACTTTGCCTTCAAAGGCATGTTACACTGTCAACTGGATATCACACCATTGTCACAACTAATCGCTCACTAATCTTCTCTGGACCTAGGAAGATTGTGTTGAAATCCCCTATAACATGAAGTGTTTATTGTCCTTACTGACAAAAATTGTTTCTTGGAATTAATAGTTAAAATTTGAATGTTATACCTCAAGATTGAACGCCATTTTAAATCTTGAATGAAGCAATAACAAGCTAAAAATTGGGAGATTTATGCTTCAGTGGTTATAAAATTAAGGTGAGTATACAAGAACAAGATGGCAAATAAAGCCGTTTCATAAAAAACAATTTTAAAAAATTTCAAGAGGCATTTGTCTAAATAAAGATGGTCGAAAAACTTAATTTTATATCGAAGAGCAGCACAGCTTTAGCTTCAAATAGAAGGGAAAAAATTACTCGCACTTTAATAGCCGACTGGAAACAAGTCACTCGCTACCTTAAAAAACCTACACAGCAAATACAACTACTTGAGAAGATTCGCAGGTATACCCAAAATGAAGAACTATGCTAGCTTTCTTTTCACCGCAAAGAACGGAAAAGCCGTTACTGCTCTTTTTCTTCTTTTTCCATTTTATCATTCTATTTGTAAATCCCTCTTACTTTCCATTTCTGATACCTAGCAAAGTTATCAACTTTTTCCTTTCACCGTTAGTCTTCCGTGATTCATTCGACCGATCTAAACCAATTTTTTGACTGACTGAATAGGAATTACTATACCTTGATAATAAGGATAAGCTCTCTATCAGCTCAATTGGACCTAGTCTTTTGTCCAGGTTTTGTGTTATCAGCTATTTACTTATAAAATGATCTAAAGCATGATCTAGTGTTACGAAACCGAAATAATGATGACCTTTAGCGTTCAATGATTGTTCCACTTCTAATCCTTGATAATAAGGAAAAGCTCTTTATCAGCTCAATTGGACCTAATCTTTTGTCCAGGTTTTATGTTGTCTGCTATTTACTTAGAAAATGATCTAAAGCATGATCCATTGTTACGAAACCGAAATAATGAGGACCTTCAGCGCTCAGTGATTGTTCCACTTCTAATCCAGTCATTTACAAATAAGTGCCGCTAGCGTACTGGCTGCTTACCATGGCTGGCCTGTTCCTGCGTGCTCCATCACCATTTAGATATCCGTATGGCTCAGGGTAGCCATGTCTATAGCTCCTGCCACTTTCTTTGTTGTGTTTTCTGTTATCTTGAACTCGTTCTCCTGGCTGAGGGCTGAACCATTGGTCTTTGGTTGCGTTTTGATTGCTGTCGTATTCGTAAAATACTGGTTCATCCTCCTCAGGTCCTCTTGTATCATTTGTGTAAGGAATTTTGATAGGAAGACGTTGCTCAGGTTCATATGGGTGTGGCACCCCCCTGTGTTCGTAGGGTTCCGGGTAAGGCACTACTCCTCCATTCATTTCCTCTGCGTATTCATCGGTTACTTCTTCATAGACGTCTTGATACCCGATGAGCGTTCCGTCATTGTCATAGACGCCTATTATTCTCCTTTTGTAAGAGCCCTCCGGTTTCCGGAGGGGTACTTTGTGCGGATCTGGATATTTTTCCACCTGACCGTCAAAATCGTCAGGATGCTCCCCACCGGGGCTACTCTGGTAAGAATAAGCCTCCCGTGGGGGCTGCAGTGGTGGTTCCTCCCAGTCGTACGGTGGGGGTTCGGGCCATCTTTCTTCCCGTGCATTTGGCTCCTCGGGATAATACTCTTTGTTATTGCCGACACCATTTTCAGGCGGCTGATTGTATACATCATTGTATACGTCAGGTGGGTCATGATGGTGCGCATGCGCGTGTAAGAGACCATCCAATTTAAACTGGTCCTCTTTGCTGAATGCCCTAAATCTTCCCTCTGGTATCAGCTCCTTATCTGATAGTTCTTCCTGTAGAGTCTGCCCTGGTTGATTGTTATTTCGGCTGGGTACCGGTTGAAAGGCTCCCCCACTGAGACGCACTCCGGAAGCCTTGAGAAACGGGAACCTTTCTGGATCAACACTCTTAGGAAGCTGAGGCCTTGGTAGGGCTTGAGCACTCACGAGAATTCGCTCTGGGTCGGTAGATGGAGATGTGAAATTGAATTGTGGGGCACTTTCAACTTGCGGGGCTGAGTAAACAACAGGAGGAACATCCTCATCGTCACCTTCGTGAGAGAAGCTATCTTCATCGTTATCTTCTGGTTCGGATGCAGTGAGTTCCACAGGATGACTAACCAGAGGGTTTCCCTCTGAACCATAGTCCACAGTGACTGCAACAGGCTCTCCAATAACAACAGTTCCTGGCAACTGGCTGATGGAAATCTCCAGCTCGGAAGTACTACGACCAAGCCCGGGGGTAACAACACGACTGCGAACACGTTCTTGTACGAATACACCTAATTGCACCTCGGGTTTCCTTTCAACATCAATAGTTAGGGACGTGGTTTCCGGTGTCTTTTCCGGTACCGCAACAAGACCAGCGCGGAGTTTCTCGATTTCTGTGCGACTCGCCTGATATCGCTCGTAAAGGACCTGAATTTCTTTTGAAAGTTCAACAACGTGAACACTAAGGCTCTCCTTTTCCTTCTCACATTTGTCCAGTTGAACGGTCTTTCCATCGAGTTTTTCCTTAATTTCCTTGACGCTGTCTTCCAAGAACCGGATACGATTATGTAGAACAGATTCGTCCTTTTCCGACGCTGGTATTCTGCTTTGAAGGAGTTGTATCTCTCTCTCGAGTACGATTATCTGGTTATCTTTGTCACTGTCCTCCATCTTTTCATTCAGTTCTTTTCCTAGTTTACTAATTGTCTCTTCTCTTGTCAACAGCTCCTTCTTGATCCATTTAGCTTGCTCTTCGGCTTGCTGTTTCTGTTTAGAAGATCGTTGAAGCTCAATTTCCAGTTGAGTGATTCTTGTATGTGATTTGTCGAAATCCTTGCTTAGCCCCTCTATCTCCATGTTGGCCTGGCTCAGCTTTATCTCGAGCTCAGCGAGTTTTTCTGAATCTTTTCGGAGATCATTTTGAAGATTATTCTTCTCTTTCTGCAAGGAATCCTTTTCGTCTTCAACTTCGTCTAGTTTGAGTTTCAGAGATTCAAACTTTTCCTGCCAACCGTCTTCACTCGTCTGACGAAACAAAGATCGCTTCAGCTCTTCAAGCTCCGTTAGATGGTTTTTGCTTTCTTCTTCTTTCTTTCGTAGCGTTTCCTTGAGTTTCCTGAGTTCCTTTTCCAGGTCTCCAGAGTCCTTGGTGAGCTTCAGTTCCGACAGTTGTCGGCGCAACATGGCGGTCTCACTTTGGGCATCGGTGAGTTCACGTCGAACTTTGTTGTACTTGGTCTTAGTTTGCTCATGTTCATCGTCGTTTCTTTCCAAGTTTCGTTCCAGGCGTTGCTTCTCGATTTGAAGGGAATTCTTCTCTCGCTTTAACTCATCAAACTTTTCCTTCCAGTTCTCATCATCGTCCTTTTTTCTCAACTTGGCTTTTAAATCCGATATTTCTCCCTCCAATCGACGGATCTTGTCTCCTAGTTCCTTGTTCTTGCCGGTCAGCTTTTCCTTCTCAGTGACATGCAAATCCTCTTCCTCTTTCAGTTCATCACCGAGATATTTCACTTCTTCCCTTAGTTTGTCGACTTGTTTCTGAAGATCGTCGTTGTCTTTCTTCAGGTCATCATTCTCGTCACACAGAGTGTTGTACATCTCTTTCCCTTTATCGAATTTAACTTTCATTTCCTCTAGCTGCTCTTCAATGTCTGCTTTCTTTTCAAGAAGATCTTCGTTGTTGTCTTTCAACTTCTTTTTATCTTCCATCAGCTTTTGGTATTGCTCTTTTAATTTCTCATATTCTTCACTCAAGTCTTCGATGGTCTCCTGTGATTTTAGCTCTAAGAGTTCCTTCCTTGCTTTTTCCAGCTCCGCTTCGATGTATTCTTGCTCTCGTAGTTTTTCCTCCAGGTCACTGATGGTGTTTTTATCCTGAGCAAGATCTTTTCGTTGCTCATTTATTACAGCTTCTTTCTCTATGAGCTCCTTTCTCATCTCTTCACATCGATCATTTAGCTGCGTGATGGTCTTAGACAGCTCCTCCGTGGTCTTCTTAGCTCTTTCTTCGGACTCTTCTAAGCATTCTTCGACTTTTTCTTTCTCTTTCTTAGTGCGCTCCAGAAGCTCTTCGAGTTCTTGTATCTGCGATTTGGAGTAGTCTTGACTGGACCACGAATCTCCAGACTCCTTTGGAACAGCTGCAAGTTGAGGAGTTTCTCCAACCGCAACTATATGCTCTTCAAAGTCATCGGAATCACTCAGATCCTCATTCGGTGCCAGTGGAACTCTCTGAACAACTCGAAGGTGCTCAACCACAATTTCATCTGGATCTTCGTTCCTAGGTTTTTCTTCCTCTATGTATCTCTCAGCCAGTTCGCTCTGTAAAGAAATCACCTCATCTCTCAGTTGCTCCAATTCTTGCGTCATCTCTTCGTTTTCTTCCCTTAATTTGGTTAGTTCGTCGTCATCATTTCCGTCCGCCTTGTCGAGGTCCTCCGCAAACTTCGACAGATCGCGATCTTGAAGGTCTTCTAATTGCTTCTGTAGCAGAGCAATATCATCTCTTAACTCTCCGTTTTCAGCCTTCAGTGAAGAAATCGTCTTTTCCTTGTCAGACACCTCTTTCCGGAATAGTTCAGCACGGACATGGGTTTCGTTAAGTTGCTTAGTGCATTGCTTGGAGTCCATCTCGGCTTTGTTTTTACTATCCACAAACTGGAGGTAGAGAAGTTCCTTTTCTTTGCAAACCTCTTTGAGATTCATCTCCAGCTGTGTAATCTTCTTGTTTTGAATATCGAGCCTGTTGGTGCCCTCGCGGAACAAACTTTCACGGCTATCTTTCTCTGCCTTTAAGCTACTTTCCAACTCGGTTACAAGGCCTCGCAGAATGGACATTTCTTTCTCAAGCTCGATATTTCTCGTTCGGCTGTTGTTGCAGTTTTCCTCTGACTGTTGAATCTGCACATGATACTCCACAATCTGTTGTTTCATTTCCTCGATAACTTCGTCATCGGCCGACAATTTAATTTGCAAGTCCTTCAGTCGCCGTTCAAGATCATCTACTTCGACCCGCAATTCTTCTTTCTCTTTCAGTAGATTATCATTTTCCGTTTCGATCTCTCCGTATTTGAGCTTTAGGGACTCCATTTCCAGCAAGATATTGTCTTTTTCGCCGCCGTTGTTGTCACGCAAATCGTCGTACTCCTTCTGCAATTTATCGAGCTGTTCTACTAAATCATCGTTTCCCTTTCTCGCCTCATCAAGCTGATCTTTGAGATTTTCGTTATCCCTTTTAATTTCGTCGACTTTCTCTTGTTCCTCTTTGTAACCACGAATTGTCGCCTCAAACTTTTCAATGGTGATTTTTAACAGCTTATTTTCCTCCACAACCGTTTTGATCGTCACTTCATGCTCTGAGAAAGACCTGTGATAAGAAAATGCCGCGTTTTTCAATACGCCGATCTTCTCCTCGGTATTTTCACAGGCGTTCTCGAGGTTGCGTAGTTTTTCACGAGTATTTCTTAACTCCTGTTCAAGCTCTCCAAGCCTGTCTTGTGCCTCGAAGAATCGTGTTTTGAAATCTTCGTCGACCGGAAGCTCCTCGACTGTAACTCTAATCGTTTCTTCTGTAGTCGCAGAATTAGATGTCTTGTAAACATAATCTGTTTTCGCTCTTCTTATTTCAGGGTCGTTAATGCCCTTGACAGGATCATGTGAAATTTCACGATCATTCTTTCCAGAAAGCGACCCTTGGTTCGATGACAGGGCTTTCTTAAAGTCCGACATACTGGGAGATTGTACTTCAATGACTTGACAGTGCTACAGAAATACAAAACAGAAAGTAGAGTGACTATTTCGTAAGCAAATAGCTCACGTTCCAAGGTCGTGTATGTACACGCGTGATAGATGACAAAAATTATGTCACGGAGAAGCCACAAACGAGCGACGCGCGATCGTTTGTTCGATATACTGATCCAATGATTCGAAACGCAAACGAAACTAATAAACCAGAAGTCAACAAATTGTGCCACAAGATAAACACATACCATCAAACAGTGACAAGCGAGTAAAACGCCATAAACGTTTGTCAACAATTCTCATTTGCGTACCACCACAGACGCAATTTCAAATACTTGACGCCTGTGCATAATTAGCATTGAGTTAGTATCAACAAAAGCGCGTTTAAGTTGAATTATACCGCGAACAGCGAGATGTTTTAGTGTTAAAATACCTGTTATTTACGACGTTTGTCAATCACGAGGAAGTTATAGCATGTGGTTGTATTTTCTTTCGACAAGAACAGTCATTTGTGTTTTCTATGCCACTCCGCATTTAATAGTAACACATAGGTAGGCTTCTCCCGTGAGAACCGTAAGACTGACCACTTCGAACAAAAGGTTGCACAGCCAATCTATAAACCATTTGAGCAGAATTTGCATACCAATAACGGCTCAGTCACGCTCGAAGAACCGAGAAATAATTCGAAAAGGAAGTCATGCCTGGATTAACTCAGCAAACGGCAAGGCGAGGTAAATATTTTTAATAGTTTGAAAGCAGTGAATGAAATGCAAATCTTGGGATATCAATGGTTCGAGGTGTCACGCCACTGCTCATCGAGCATTAGATTACGAAGGATTTGGATTGATTTGACCCATCTCTTTACCGACTTGTAACTGATATGCTGGACAGAAATATCTCATCCTGAGGCAAGGCAAACATTTGGCCGAGGTTTTAGATGGTTGTTGTAAAGAAAATTTTAAGTACTGTTAATTGTGCTAATCACTTTCGTAATCTAACACGTTGTTGTTAAGAGAATTAGCATGCATTCTTTGCACTTTTGATCCGTGAATTCTTGAGGGAGAAATCTGAGGCCTTGAAATCGAGACGATAGTGGGCACGAGGTTGCGGTATAATCGTAATTCAGTATCATCCAGAAAGTCGTTTTTCCTTCGATATGTTGGTCCTAAAGAGGTATCATCTGGAGAATTTTCCCGCTGTTTCCAAATTGTTTTTCACCAAAATGTTTCACTGTTCTTACGAAACTCAAAACTTACTCGTTCATGAAACCGCAAACTATTTTGAAACTTTCTTACCCTCGGGGCTCAAAAGTTGAAAAACAACTAGCCGATGCAAATGCAGCAGGTTTAACATATTTCTTCCTTGGGAAGGGGTACCTACTTCGGAATGTGAAGAGCGGGGGGAGGAAGGGGACGATAATGTGCTCCTAAAATGGGAATTACGATTTTAAAACAAATCTTCAAAGGAGTGAATACTGTTAACGACGTACGTCTTAACCTTTCTGTCAAATGTCAAGACATTTAATTACATTGAACAAGAAATCCAGTGATTGTCAGAGACATGACTTAACAGCCCAGGTAATCTCTGAACATTATCTCACGCTTTGGAATGTTTAAGCTTTCAGAAGCCACTGTCCTTTTATTTATTTAAATTTAAGGCCGATTTACATAAGCACTGGATCAGAAATTAACAACGTTTCAGCGTCATTACGGAACTTTAACCTAAGATCTTGATTAGTGGCTTCTTGTGTCTCTTATAATCGTATTTAAATGCTCTGAACAGCTGACTTATGTCATTAATTATAATTCAACGCACAAGGTTCTTACTTTGTAATCCACATTTCATAAATTTCAATACCTTTGATTCTCTCTGCGTCCGCTGTCTCTGATATCCGCCGCGACATGTAAACAGTAGCGGTTTCTAAATATCAATGACGTATGAATAAACACAACCGCGCCTTCGTTGCGACGAATACTAATTTCGACAGGCGTCAAATTTATGCTTGCTCGGAGAGACTGGATCGACACACGAGGCTTCCAAGATGGCGGTAAGTATCATTTCACATCATCTGTTAGCTCGAAGTAGCTGATATATAGCTAGTAAAGGATATCTCATTCAATTTTTCTCGGCAGGCCGAGGAGGTGACATTACTTAGTCAAATCTGAGTGTTTCTTTGAAAGCACGGTGACGAGTAAAGAATACCGATAAGCGATAAGTGTTTCAATTCTGTGTTGTGTTTGGTGCAGCGTAGTTTTGTTCAGTTTTGTTTTTGTTTTGTGTGTATTGGGCATGTGTTGATATTGTAGTTACTATGTGTAGTTGTTGTGATGTGTACTGTGTTTTGTAATGATTTTTAAATTCACAGAGCGATGATTAAACTAGAGAAATGAGCTTCAAACATTTTTCGTTTGATAATGATTGTTAACACTTGATTTCTGAGCTCTGTGACCGAAGTGGGAATTGTGTAATTAATGGAAAGGTTTCCACATAACCCCTTACTATTCTAAAAAAAGTTGTTCCAAAGGCAATCTATTTTTTTTACCAGCTTTTTCTCTATCTTAGGAATGTATGCGGGTGTCTGGAAAAATGAGACCTAAGACCTCACACTCAGGAAACTAAAACCTGACTAATTTCAGTTTGAGAATTCTCCAATATAGATTCTGCAATCTAAATCTTGGTCTGCACAAGCCAAATTCCTCTCCTCTCCATCTCTACGTCACGCTTTGCCTCACGGTTGTTCAATAATATTTGCATTGTGACGCAGTGAGCATGTGTTTACAGGTTTTCCTCCCAGTTGTATTAGATAACAAACTTCTGTCAGTTTTCTGCCCCAGAACAATATATTTCAGAACGCCTTTAATATGACCACAAGATTTTTCAATCAAACAGTGAATTCACATAGTTTTCTTTTATCTCAGGAAGCACAGCTTTATTGTCCTCAAAAGTGTTACTGATTGTATGGGGCTGTGTGGAAATATTTCCCAGTTAGTTCTAATATAGTGGTAACTGTTATGGTATGATAGGCTCTTTTTATGTTGTAAGCTCAGTATTGGATTTAATTTTGGGTCAAACAACAAGGCCCAGGCTGGAAAGAGGCTCTCAGTTAGGAAAGTGTATTTCTCATTATTGATGGGTAAGAAAGTTCACACATCAGGTCAGTCTAGAGAGTCTCTAGAAGACCCATTCATTTTTCTTTTTGGTTTTCTACCGGTAAACAGTGGTACAGCAGTGCAAAATATATTTTCTTTGTGTTGAAGCTGCACTTAGAATAAAAGCACATCAAGCTGTAGTTAGCATGTCTCATAGGACTTCATTCAATGGTTTTGTTTTTTTTTTCAAAGAAAAGTTTGATACTGACCCAAATAGTAGACACACAAGAAACTTAACAGAACACTAACATCTTTGAAAAGTCTTTGTTTATTCACATTTGGGTGGTGAAGCTTCATCACGTGTTGTTCACATCAAGGTAGAGAAAGTTACATGGCTGAATGAGACTTTGTCAGATGTATGACTTACTCTTTGAATACTATTAGTAGTATGAATAGTAAAGTTCCACTCTAGTCCTTTTTTTAACTCAAAGGTAGATTTACAGTTATTTTTAAACCAGCTATACCATTTGGCAGCACAATAACTGATGGATTGAATTATTTCCTTCACATACATGGAGGCAACTATAACTCAAAAGTCCTGTGAATTTTGAATCCATCCTTATACAATGTTTCTGTAGGACTGAATTTTGGTTAGTTGCTAAACTCTCTAGTTTTTGTTGAATTTGAGAGTAAATCAGATGCCTTCTGAATAGTCATGTTGGTAGACAGATAATACTTCTATCTTTTTCATTTGAATCCTTTGACTTTCTCTGGTATTACTGTTGTGTTTGGTTCAAAGCTTTTGATTGACCTGATCACAGTTCAACTTTTAGGAAGTGACCAATATTTAATAGAGGTAGCTTTGTTTGTTGTTGTGTTGAAGGTTTGCGCAGAGTTTGTGAAGGAAACTTTGCTATGGACTGCCTCCTCTGCCAAAGAGAGTTGTTCATAATCTGCGGGAAAATTTTTAAGGTTTTTAAATTAAAGATCTTTAAAGTTATATATGGTGTCTTTTTTTTACCCACCAGAGATCAGTCATATTGTTACTGGTGGGTATTTTGTCAGCTGTGGTACAGATGTGACACCTCTGGCTTATTATGGTAAATGTTGTGATTTTATCATTGCCATTCTCAAAGCCTTTATTATTTCATGGCAACCTCTTTGTTAAAAAAAAAAGAAAGAATTATTACCTATTTGAAATTTCAACTTACTGGTAGCTTTGTAGCCTCATTTTGTTCTTCCCTTTTTGGTGCCTCCCCTGTGACATCCACCTTGATTGAAGATTGACCAACTGCTCCTTGTATCTGTAATACTCGGGGTAGGGAGGGTTGGGCAACAGAGTGTGTCGATAGGGGAAAACTATTTGTTAGAGAGGGTAGGGCAACAGAGTGTGTTTGCAAGGGAAAGTTTTGTGATAGTGTTTGTGGTATTCCTCTATGTCTGATAAATGAGGAGAAATAAATATTAACGATAAGGGAAATGAAGGAGTGATAATTGAGATTGAGAGATCGGAATATCTCGAATAGCAAGATAAAGAACACTCTGATTAAATAGATGGTAATATTGATAACTGAGAACAAGGAGAAGCTAAGGCTGACTGTGGAGAAAATAACTGACAGAATTTTGATAAAAGAGAGGCTTGAAAACTAAACCATTAATAAAGGGAGGGAGAATTAAGGAATTTAAAAGGTACTTGAATTTTTTTTCAAAAGTCTCGTATGGGAATTTTTTTTTTGGTAAAATCTCTTGAGGCCCACTTGTGCTGAAATTGTTTGAAGGCAATTTTGTAGATGTGTTTTCCTTTTATGGAGCACATAAGGATTAAGTACCTCTGAGGTTCTTCCATGCCATCAAATATGTTCCTCAAATCGGCAATTCTGGCATCTACATGTAAAACCTTGTCCATAATCTCCTTTTGTTTGAGTAACAAATCTCGTCTTGACCAGTTCTTAACCTTTCCTCGCCTCTTCATCTTGGTTGTAGAGACTGTAGGAGGGATGGGGTTGGGCGTGGCTCCAATGATCATCATCTCTCCTCCTTGAGAGAGTTGTACTGTGGACACTGGCATTCTTTCCCCAGTCTGATAGCTGGACACTTGGGGAGTAATTGGTGTGAAAAAGGAAGATTCCTAAAACAAGAGATTTTGTCAGTGTTCTTCTTTATACCAAACTTTCTTTACTTAGTTTATGTATTTTGTGTTTGAAAACTTGGTAGAGAATTTTTTTACAGGTTCATTCTCTTTGTATTTTAATCAGTAAAACAGAAAAAATTCCAAAGAAACCGCAAAACAGTTATGTTGGCGGTGAATAGGCCAAAGAAAAAAGTTTCTCATGCACTCCTTTTCCCTTTTGATTCATATTGTTGCAAGCTCCCTTTCAGGTGGAAATTCAAGGAAAAGCATAAGAAAATACTGGGCTTTGAATAGCGTACAGAAAAAAAGCAGCATTAAGCGATCAACTTGTGTCACAGCAGTCCAGTGTTCTATTAGTGAAAACATTGCTATTGGCCATCAGAACTTATTGGTTATTCATCAGTTTCATGGACTCCTTTACAGTTGTTATTTTGTTTCATGGCATGGAGAATATGTGTGGGTCAATAAAGAAAGTGACAGCTTCAAAGGATACTGATCTTACAGTAAATGGTTTCAACTAAGGAGTACCATTGGATTATATAGTATGACTGTCCGGGTGAGAATAATCCTGAGAGGAACTGTTTTAGTAGTAGTGACTGACGTTTTGTGAACTTGAGAAGAAGTCGCCATTAGAGTCTTATGGTAAAGAGGTGTCAGTTGAGTGTTAGAAGTTCAGTTCAAGTAAACTGATTGGTCAATTTTGCTGTAATGTCACTGTCTGTCTGATTCAAGGAGTGTAAGTCGGTTGTGATTGGTCAGTGATTAATCTTATTACTGACGTGCATTATTAGATAAAAGTGTGTTTCGTGAACTTCCCCATGTCACTGTACCTCGGGTTTAATGGCAGCCTCGCTGTCTCTGCAAGATAATTCAAAATACTTGAGCTTGGATAGACAATGAATGGGCTACAGGCAGTATGCAACTCCTTACTTGACTTGTTACTGAGGACTATGGAAATGTTGCAGTCTTCAATTTGCGGATTATGCAACCAGTCCTCAATCCGCAGGGTTAAGCGGAATGTGTCCAGTGAGTTATATCTTAAAGCTCACAGGGAGATCTAATGTACCCCTACCCCCCCCCCCCCCATGCACGCACACATACCCCCACCCACACGCCCACTCCCCACTAGGCTCCAGCTGGTGTAAATGAAATGACAGGAGGATGACATCTTTACGTACCTGGTTTCCTTTGCTTCTTCAAGCCTAGGAAGAGCCTGAAAAATAAAGGCAGAAAAAAACAGATTTCTTTGACCTGTTGTCGTGATTGGAAACTTCGTTTTACGTGAGATTCAGACTCGATCCGAATCCCTATTTATTTACTGGCTAAGAGGCGAGCATGCGTCCTTTCCGGGAAGGATCTATACTCATCTCCAGCCTTTTCGGCATATCGGTCATTTAAATGCAATAAGGATCGGAGTAAATAAAGTCATCGTGAAGATCGTTAGGGGGAAGGGGTGATATGGAAACCATCCGCCCACGTTTAATTCCTTGTCAAAAGTGGGCAGCGTTAAAAAGTCTGCCTTACAAGATGGTTAGACTTGACACATTTGCTCTTGTTGAAATATCAGTTAAGGAAAGAAAAATTTTTTTATTCGTCAACCGAGTACGCCGCTGCTTCTCACTCAGCGAATAAACTTTAAAACGGAAATTTGCTAGGAAATGTTACGAAACGGAAACTGAGCATTTGGCAAACGTTTTGCGGGATTCTCTCTCTCTGACCAAGAAAAGACAATGGTCCCAATTTATATGGTCTTGTTACGACTAAAAACGATCAGGCGTTTCCTTTTTTAGAAGCAGCGCTAACATATTGGCCCCAGACTCTTTGTTGCTTCCCTGATTTCCTGAACGTTACTCTAAGTTACTCTTAGACCTGTGTTCATTACAACATTTCTTACTTGTCTCCCTATTATCGGTACTTCTTCTTTTCTCTTCGGAAGATCAACAGTTGACAGTCGTTTCTTTAACAAAGAGAAAAAAACAAAGATTAAGAAAAAAAAAAAGGAAAGAAAGAATGGAAAGAAAAATTTAAAAAAACTTGTATTCGATAACTCTATGAAGTACAAAAGAAATTACATAAAAAAAAAGCTCCATGAAGTTCTATCGAAAACGACCATGATGCAAATACAAAGCGCTCATTCTATGGGAATCTGATGAGCATTGTATTCTGTTTAAATTCTTCAGTTATTGAAATTAACCCTCGCCCTCTCAAGTTTCAAACTAATCAGAAAGAAATGATTTGTGGCTTTAAAAGGGAAAATGTCACTAAATTTGCAAGTATGATTGATTCTTACCTCCCTTAAGTCATTCCACAGCGTATAGAACCTCTGGTAAATACTTAGCTGGTAAAGTAAGAGAAACTGTAAACACGTGTCGAACAAAAATGTATTGCGACGTGGTCTGAGAATATTTTTTTACCTTAAACCGAGGTATCTCTTTAAAAGTTGCGGTAGAGATGGTAGGAGGAAAATTGTTGAGACAAGATAGCAACTCAGCGCTTTCCCACTACATTTCGACGAGTTTGGAGGGGAGCCTTAGAGACCTCTAAGTCGAGTTCATCATGTTGAGGCTGATTTGGCTCATTACCTGACATCACACGTGGGGAATTTAGTCGAGATGAACAGGGTGGGGTAGGATAGTATATGCGACTAAGGAAGAGTGGTGACAAACTTTCAAACTTATACGAAACTATGGGCCAACGTGTAACCTAAAACATCAACTTGGCCAGCACGTTTTAAGAGTTGTTTCATTACACTTACACCATCTTGTAACTCGTGGTTCACCAACTTGGCTGTCGATTGAAGCGCTGTGAAAGAAAATATGTTTTTATTATTGAAGGCTCTGCACAAGAATTTAAATGGAACCTAGCAAGCGCTCGATGGGTACAATTGTCCCATATCGAATGAGAACGAATGAAATAACTGTTTACTTTAGGCCAGCTCTACAGGTTATCTCACATGGGAGCTGTTGATTACTAGCTGTATGTCCCTAGGTAATTAGGAAATCAAATTAGAGGCTCCGCGGGCCTGATGGTTTGTTTTCGCTGGGGCTTGTTAGTCCAAAGCCAACTCCAGGGCCATTATATCAACAGGAAAAGGTGCGGTGAAGAGAGCGACCCAGAAAAGGACATATCTTTCTCCCCCTTCACCCCTCCTCGCTCTTTACGGCTGTTATTTCGTTCACGTTCGGGTAGATGATCTGAGCAAAGACAGGAGGTTTTTGAACAGTCTATGCTGGGGTCTTGGCGTACGCGGTGAAACACTCGTGGTTCACTTACTATCAATAGCGTGTTGTGCCATCACTGTCAACTGTCCCTTCACTAGGTCTTCCCTCAACGGCGCCCCTGATGCTGACCCCTCGGCTATAACTTTTACTTTATTCGGTACTTTTGAGTAGGGCGGGAGCAAGTGAAGAATGTCATTCAGTGTGTTCCATTGACTCTTCTTGACAAATTCTGCGTCGAAAGCCTGACCGGGTTCTTCAGAGGCTAGTTGACCAAGGAAGAAATTGTTAATGCGCAGGTTTGGAATCCCTGGCTCTTTCTTGTCAGTCGTGTCTACCTTTTGAACCTCTAAATTCCCTTGTTCTTTCGTGGCTGCTATGATACTCTCTCCTGTCACGCTATCATGCTCTTCTACCTTCTGCGCTGTTTGCTCAGAGGACACCACCTCAGGATAAGTGCTGTCCGCTTCAGCGCTAATACTTTCTCTTTCCTTTCCAGTCATTTCGTCTTTTGATATCTGATGTTTAGACGCCCTTGGAATGGTTCCGCCCCGCTTCAAATGTAATGAGGAACGCCTCCTTTTGTTCCCAAGCTTGTTTAGTCTGCCTTGCTCAGTTGACGTGACTGCTATGTCTCTCTCTCCTGTCACGCCATCAGGCTCTTCTACCTTCTTCATTGTTTGCTCAGAGGACACCACCTCAGGATGAGTGCTGTCCACTTCAGCGCTGATACTTTCTCTCTCCTTTCCAGTCATTTCGCCATTCGATATTTGATGTTTAGACGACCTTGAAATGGTTCCGCCTCGCTTCAATTGTAATGAGGAACGCCTTCTTTTGTTTCCAAGCCTGTTCAGTCTACCTTGCTCAGTTGACGCAAGAGCCCTGATTACTCTAGCTTTATCAATCTGACAATAAAAACAAGGAACACAGTAATCAGGGATGGCATCTCTACAAATTGTAAAAGACCAACCATCTTAGTTTCCCTTTCTGTGTTCTCATTTTACCCCTCCCTGAAAAAACGATTGGTTTGACTACAAAAGATTAAGATTAAAAAAAAAAGCCAAAACAAAACAAAAAAATAACAGAATGGGCTGATTGACCCGGAAAACATGATGAAGGTTTCATACTGACACCAAGTTTATTATTTCACGTCTGTACTTCCTGGTCTAGTTTCCATGGCTTTCATCGGATAGCTTGGAAAAAGAGTCCTGGGAAAGAGTGTGTCAAATTACCGGAATATTTTCAGCATCAATGGACTCCAATATTTCCATTGCTTTTTCACCAAGGTGTTTCTCGGTCACTGTTCGCAAGGTCTTCGCTGTTGATCGAAATAAATGAGAAATTATTATTCTGACAAACCTCGTCTTTTGAGAAAAACTTTAAAAAAAACAAAACAACAATAACAACAAAAACCACAAAAATACCTCCTTGCTCAACAAGATCATATCCGTATTCGACAAATCCAGATATTTCATCACAAAGTCGGTCTACCTGTTCAACAAAGAAAGCATAAAAACAGTTCGGATGAATTGCTCCTTGTGAACTAGCGAAGACAGTCATTTGTTCCCTCCAAGGCAGTTATTATGACTTACGTGTGGTGCTCATGAAAATATACAAATTGCAAACTGTTAGTCTCAGGTCTGACGCAGTAGCAGTGGTTTTCTCATCGATATATTTTCATGACGCCTGACCTGGTATCGAGATGGGATCAGGTGGTATCCTAAGATTTTTCTTACCAAATAATCGATGACTGGTTCCAGACCTTCATCTTACCTCGTCCTGTATAAATGTCACAGCAGAGGTCGTTTCTTGCTCGACGACATTAGTCGGTTTTACCGCCACGATAGCCTCAGCCAGCGATTTACCATCTTGCGGCGGTGGCGGTCGTGAAATAGATTGCCGCTGACTTATGCCCTCATACAGCTTGCGGTCATACTGACTGGTCTGAGTCCCCTTAAAAGACAATTCCTTCGATATTAGTGCAAAAGCCAACAATATAATCTTATTATATTATGCATGCAGTACTTACTTTATTAGCGAGCGTGACCACTTTTGCCTCTCTTACGGTCACGTAAGGAGCCTTTTCCTCCCTACATTCACCCAAAACTGAGTTACGTCCTCTTGATTTCACTTCTATCCTCTCCTCCTCTCTTTTTAAGTCGGCCGCCTTTCTTGGTTTGGCAGCGTTATCATCCTCTTCCTCGATACTTTTATCCCCTTCTTCATCGTCGAGTGGCAGTTCCTCTTCTTCCTCTTTCCGTTTCCTTGACTTTTTGCTCCTTCTAGCCGTCTTGTTTTTTTTCTGTCCGCCCGGCTCTGATTGATCCTCCTCTATTTCTTCCATACTAGACCCTGTATCGTTTTCGGATGAGATCTGGGTTGGATTCACGGCTGTTTTTTTAAAAGAGAAATGAGCATTGTGAGGGCTTTGGACATTATCAACAAAGTGCAGTGCACAGCAGCAAATCACTGGTGCGCATACTTTGCTCACATAAGCAATATTTCATGAACGCGGGAAAAGTTTTCAAATTCCGTGTATTTGCTTTCAGTTCGCCCGCAGCTTGCAGACATGTTAGCGGTATTACAGTCGTATATATTATAAGTGACAAAAGTTGAATACCTTTTGTGGTTGATGTCTTTTTAGACCGTATTTTTGCCTGCGCTTCAGCCGGCGTCAATTCAGATTTTGTAGAGGTGGTATTGTCCTTAAAAAACAATGGACCAAGTTTGCTATCTACACGAGACATGCTGAAACTTATTACACGGCACATGCAGTATAAGTTAAGATCTTACAAATTTCCAAGGATTTATTGTTATAGATACCTCTTCCTTAGAAGTCGTCAATTCAGATTTTGCAGAGGTGGTATTGTCCTTAAAAAACAATGGACCAAGTTTGCTATCTACACGAGACATGTTGAAAACTCATTACATGGCATAAGCAGTATAATTTGAGGTCTTACAAATTTCCAAGGATTTATTTGTTATAGATACCTTTTTCTTAGAAGTACGCGGCTGCGATCTTAATTTATTCAACTCTTGTTTAGTGCGCGTGATTTCTTGTTCCTTCTCCGTTATCTGTTGTAACTGACTGGTCAACTGGTCTCTGTAAGAGGAGCAGTTGGGACACTCCGCAGCAGAAGGTTCAGTCTGAATGTCTTCGACCTCACTCGATGGATCAGTTTCTTTAAACGGCTTTTAAAATTAACAAAACCAGAAATTTCTGTCATCGATCACTGAGTTCAATTTCATATTTTCATTGCCTATGACCATAGTTATCAAACATAAAAATTAGTTTCAATCATCATACAAAAAGAGTTCTTCAGACCTTTCTGTTACCATCTAAAGATTCCAACTTTCTTTGCAGTTCTTTGTTTTCCTGTAACGAAGAATTAAAAACATTGTGATAATGAGATATATTTAAACATTTCACTTCCCCGAATCCCAGTTTTGAGGAAAGCTGAAATCTCGGCACTCGCCTTTTCAAGTTTCTGCGCCACATTCCGCGCGTCTCTCACTTGAGCCTGCAGTATATCAGTCGAGGCAAAATCCTCGCTTGAACCTGTAATGGATTTCGTCTGCAAAGGAAGCAAGTGGAGAAAAAAAAAATGATCTGATTTAAAAAATCAAGGCCATATTCATCTTTTCCAAGGAATCAGTTTTTGACTTCTCGGAACTTTTCTTGATACAAATGAAAAGTTTTCCACACAAACAAACGCAAAATTTAAGATATAGCGACTGGTGCGCAGTTTTCCTCCAGCTGATTGACATATTTAAACAAATCTTAATCTATTTTTATGCCGTGGCCACAAAAAAATGATTAAGGCCGGAAAAATGAGCAAAAAAGCGTTCTTCACGCAATGAAACCATCATTGGCAGAAAATTACATGAAAAAAAATTTTAATCTATCGGTTGCCATTAATGTCATCGATGTCTAGATCTCTTAGACAAAATGAACCAATCATCTTGCAGGAAATGAGCAATTTACTCTTTACGTGGGCGACGGACCAAGCGTAAGCGAGTGCTACTTATCGGAGAGCCACTCAAAAAACTTTTAATTTTAAACATTTGTCTTGTATCCACAGATTATGGTACAGGATTCTCACCTCCTCTGTTTCCTCGGTCTGGTCAATTACTGCTTCACTGATTTTAATATTGTCTTTTTTTTCGGCGAGAAATCTGCGAAGATGCTGCAATATGAACAGAAACACAGACAGGTCAATAATTGTGTTGATTTTCCTTTGCCTGTTTTTTTTTTTGTTCAAAATTATTTTTAGGAATCACCCTCTTGAAGCCAAGGGAAGCGATTTGCTCCCTCACATGCGTGTGCGATCGTAAACATAATTACGCATGAGCAGAATATTTCCGATAAAACAAAGTTTGAGTGGCATTACGCATGCGTACACCAATTCTCGGGTATGGGGTCGGGTATGGGTAATCAGCATGAAGGGCGGAGGCTAAATTTATTAATAAGAACATTGCCAACCTGTTTACACTGCTTCAGTTCAATCTGCTTCTTTTCCAGTTGGCCCTCAACTGAAATCTTGTCATTGTATATACGAGTTTTATCTTTTTCGAGGTTCTTCTGGCTCTGCATAAACAGGTTAATGAATAAATAATAATTGATAAGGTAGCCGAATACACGTTTAAATGTATTCGTTGTATTGGGAAAATTGCAGATGTTCCTGCTCTTAGAAAGATGTCTCTTACATAACTGTTTTGCAAACAATTTTTTTCTTATGGCAAAAATCTAAGAGAATTCCTAAAACGTTGAGAGATTTCATTTGATTCAACTTGTTTTCGTACTTACTTTTTCGTGTTTGCTGATGTCTTTTTTCAAGCTGGAATTAAAAGACGGTCATAGATTAACTGAAAGTGAAGATCTAAATCAAACTGAAATGTTGTACGTGTTTCTCTTTCAGCGCGGAGAGGAACCACAATCTGAAATTCTAGATCGCGGTTTTCGCGGTGGTCTTGGGCGAGACACTTTGCCCTGTTTGTGTCCCTCCACCTAGGAGTCTAATTATACAGGCGAATTGTAAGGGAAACCTGAAACAAAAAAATACTTCTGGGGGGGGGGGGGGGAATGAAGGGAAACCTGAGATGAACTACCATCCCGCCATCTCATCGTAGGGGAAGTAAAAATACTCCCAGTCCCTTCATGCAACGGGAACCACGATTAGCTCCGTCGGTGCGGCTCACTTGGCTGAAGTGCTGATTCTTCCCTAAGTTGCTACCAAATTGCGCTTGTATTGTCAAGATTAGATTTAGTTCATTTTTCTTGAGGCATTTTGATACCGCTATAGGTGACACTACGAAGTATCAGTCGGACATTCTTGAACTGACAAAGCATAAGCCACAGTAGTGACCATAAGTCCTGCTCCACGAGCTTGGCTTCCCTGTGTAAATACTTACTTCTCGATGTACTCATTTTGATCGTTAAGAGTCGCCACGATTTTTTGAAGTTCCTTTTCTAAGGATTCCTTATCTATGAAAAAATGAAGCAGGATAATCATTGAGGTCTACAGTCTCAATGTAGTAATAAAATTAATAAAAATGGTAACAATAAAAATAATAACACTAAGAATAGTAATAATAATAATAATAATAATAATAATAATGATAAAAAAATGAGTGGTGATAATTATGGTAATATACAAACAATAGCCATTTGGCCAGAAAGTATGCACGGATATTTGCTGAGGACATTATCTGATCCGAGCTGCGAACACACACGAAAACTGTGAGCTTCGAGGAACAGACAATGTATGAAGACAACTATACGAGCATGCTTTCCCGTCAAATGGAGGCAAGTGTGTTTGTTATCCTTCAAATATCTGAAGATTGTGATAGAAAAAAGTGAACAAAAGGGGTCAGTTCCCCTCAGTTTTACCTAACTTCCCATCGTTTCGCACCATGTGTAGTATTTCAACCATTTCACCAGCCACAAGTTTCCATTGTTGTGTCTCATTTCGAACGCTTTGCCTTCCTGAAATAATAAAAGAAACACCATTACGAAACCCCGATACCCTGTGACTTCGCAAGGCAAAATACCAGCTCTCATAGATTCATGGATGGCTGATTACTACACAGAAAGTTTATCCACTGTAAAGGTTACACTGAGGAATCCAGAACTTATGGTTTAAGCTATCTTCGGAGGATCTGAAGGAGGACTGACTTTGGGAGATCGTTGACATTTCCCCTACTAAGGTCATCTCGAAGACATTCGGGAAAATTTCTGACTGAATCAGTATAATAAATTTATTATTATATAAAGAGCGACCTTTTTTGAAGTACTAATAAACGAAAATTTGCCTTTCGTGAAAACTCTCGCCAGAGAAAATCTAGCTAGAAAAGATCTCGCAAAAAAAGAGATTCTGAGTTGACAGATCAAACAATTAAAATACAAGTTCATACGATAGCAATGGGATCAACGTATTTATTCTAGAGTTTTTCTTTCACTACAGTGTTATCTACCCTCGAACATTGACCAGGAAAGATGGAGGCTTTTGCCTCGGAATTATTTTTGCCACAAATGAAATTTTTGAGTCCTAATTACTTGAGAAAAGTTCCTTCCTTTGTTGCGTGGCCATCCTTTTGTGAATCTGCAGCTCCCGTTCCAACTGTCTCTTTTCTCTGGAAAAAAGAGAAACTCACTCCTAGGATGATCATGATTTTAGCTTCACGTGAAAAGCGACCCTCCGATTGTTGGAGAGTTATGAACAAAAACGAAATAATGTATTAAGACACACATATGTCTATATTTGATAGAAATTTGATTAACAATATTGCAGTTCGAATGAGGCCTTCAACAAGGCAGTAGGACAACATTCAGACATCCTTGAACAAAGAATCATCCAAGATTCGACTCATTACTATTGTGTGAATTCCTTGCTTAGTTGGTAGTAACTTCCAACTAGCATCTGAGAGGCCTGGGTTCGAATTCTGAATTTTTTAGGCCTGATTTTTTTCCCCAGATGATTATTGACAAACAAATGGTACATCTGATAAGGTAATATAATAACGGAATGAAAATAATAAGAACGTTTGGTTGGACTGAGAGGGCGTTAGGTGAGTTGAAGAAGGGAAAATTTGTTCCAGAAGAGGAGACCATAGTATCTACACCTTGAGAAAACAAACTTAGCATAGAGAGCCGGCGAAATACTTATTTAGAGCTTATGGTGCAGATATGGAGCCAAACATACTCCTCTAAGGCCCTAGTAGCTTCTCCTTTTTTCGATTCATCAATCATCCTTTTGTTGAGTTTCTCCAATTTGGTGGTAGTGTCTTTTACAGTTTGGAACGTTTCCCTGTAAAACAAAAAGAGGATAAACAACATGAGAGCATGAATTAACGTGTAACTTAGCAACTGGGTTAAAACAGACTGCAGAATCTTATACTGGGATTAGCATAAAGAACGGCGGAGCAATGAGGGGGCCTAGGTGGCTGCAGTTTTTACTCGTAATTCAAATAAAGTTTATTTCTTCGTGTTTACTTTTCTGGGGGAGGGGAGGGTTTAGAACATTTCAGACATCCATATATAAGGTTCTGCCACTAGCACCAGCCACACATTCCCTCTCCACCTCTTCGCTGTTCGCGAGGAAAATAGTTTACAGTTCACATACTGAATTGCTCGCTGTGTGCCCTCCATGTCTATTGTTTGATCTTTTTTGCTCATCGCCTCCAGCTGTAACAAAGATACACATAACATTTACTACAATAACCGAATCACAAGCAACATCCTCCAATCCAAGTCACATATTCCCGGGTATTGTTCCGTTGGATTGAGACTCAGTCATGGAGAGTAAGAAATATAAGTGAACACTAAACAAACAAAACCTAAAAGTTACCTCATTTAAGATTTCTTCCTCGTCAAATTCAAGCGACTGTAGAAAAATGAGCCGAGAATAAAAAGTAAGTCAACACCGCTTCACACGACAAGTAAATTGCCTTCCGTAATGGCAAGTTAAAATGCCGTAAAAAATTCCCGATGTAGACCATAACATCGGTGTGCCGCCTGCAGCTTCGGGTAGGATGTTTACGCAGCCATAAAAAGCAGTGCAACAGGACGAGAACAAAAGGATAATACTTACATCTTGAAGGGAATTTAGTAACTGCAATGAATAAAGCAAAATTAGCTTCTACTGTCGATGATCGTTGTCGTTAGAGGTTAAATATATCCACCAAAGAAAGTTTCCTTGATTTGTGACATTAGGTGGCTTGCGGGGAAACGCGGGGAGAAAAAATGCTAAGATGAACCGTCATGTTAGAATTGTTTTGTCTCTCTCCTTTTTGCACGCATTGACTATCCAAGTAACGTTGAAACAGTTCTAGAAAATTGTGCTCCAAATTTTGTGAGCTTTATCAGTACTAAGAATTATGAATATCAATGTGCGTGAATCTGCTACGTAAGCAGGCGAGCTTACGGTTGAATAACACGCAGCGGATGTTAAACCACAATTCAACTGTAGATTATCTTTACTCAGTTTTGTGGTGAACTTACCTCTTCTCTTTCGTCACACAAAGTTTTGTAATCACTTAACAAACTTTCCATGGCAATCTTAATAAAAAAAAATGTGTCAAATCAGCGTTTTGAAATTGGATGCGTTTTAGATTCTTAGATACTTCAGTGTGGTAGTTTTTCTCGTCATTGTGAGGATCAGACAAATTCAATTTCAGATGAATTTTTTTGAAATATTAATATTTGTTTCTCAGGCGATGTTGTGGAATGGAATCAGGGAGTGCTATCACCTCTACATTCTACGTCTAATGGATCAGTTTATTTCCGTTCTATTGGTGATAGCCCGTTGAAAACGCGATCCTGGCAGATAATTTATGACATGAAGAACGAAAGATAATTTTAACAAGAGCAAAGAGAAGGGTGCAATACTTGGCCGCTGAGATGCTCCTGCATGGCGCTATATCCCTGAGGAGACAAAAAGATGACACACTGCTTGCGATCAAACCTCCTTGAGGCTACCATTAGCGGACACACACACATGAGTAACAAAGTGAAAAAAAGAAAGCTAAAAATTTAACTTAAAAAAACTCGACTTTCTTTGACTTTTATAAAGTTGTTAAAGATTACAGGATGACGCTAGGCGTATCTTTGGTTAAGGCGATGCTGGGTATCCTGTGCTTCTTGTTGTTTATAACACTTGTGCCAAGCTCAGAGCCTTCCCATTCCTTACGAGACCTTTCAGATTTGTAATTCCTTAGGTTATAATGAGAAATGCTTCCTGATAACCTAGTTTACAATTTTATGCACGCGGCTTACTCTAATCAAACTTAACCGTTCAAGTTCCAAGAGTTATCAGCATCTTATTACTCCTTAAAGCAATACTCCTGAATCATTCATTAAGATCGTGAGAATATCGGAAATGGTCGAAAATTGTTAAACAAATTGTCCGAGTCAGTCCCAAAGGAGAAATATAGAGAAGAGTATGAAAGATATGGATACTGATGTTAGGGTGTAAGGCGAAACGTTTCTTGTTTCATAGGCTTTACCTTTGGATCTTTGTCATCGTACATGGATTCGTATTCCGTTAGCAACTGAAAGATAAAAAACCAATTCTCAAACATTAAAATTTGTCTGAATCGAACATATGACGTCTATTTTCTAGAAAGCGACCTCCAGGAGATCACGCGGTCGTAACTACAAGTGCTGACTCGTCTAAGAATGTTTTTTAAAAATATTTTGATCATCTTATCGAGTAACTCTTAAAGGATTAAACGACAAGAAAATCGTCACCATACTTTTTAAGCGGTATAATTAATCAGAAAATTATTTTTTTAAAACATCTAACAGTTTACTTATCAAACAAGGATAATGGTATTTACCGAGGCTAAATCAAATGTGAGCTTGGCCTATCATTCAAAGTGTAGTCTCAAAAATCTCTACATCTATCATCCCACAGTTTTTACTCTCCCTCCCCAGGGGAACTTTTGCCTACAGCTTCTTAACCTACGAATCAAATACATGTCTCTCGCTCTGACGAAGGGCTAATGCTGGGATGATCAGCTTTAGAAACTCTTTACGGCGGACAATTTACACTGCCAACCCAGTCGATAAAATCAAATTATCTTGTTATTCTGCCCACCTACGCAGCGCCACAGTTCCGTCAGAAGCTTATTTCCCCTCCCCTCCCCTCTCCACCCTTTATTCGTGATATTTTACCTTTGATATTCTATCAGTGATGCCGCTAAACTCCTGCTCGATGTAGTCATTAGACTTCTGTTTTCCTATTCCCACTGCATGCACTGTTAACGGAAGATCACTCTCACTCTTAGTAGCTGTCGCTAGGTCTTCCTCCTTTTCCTCTGGTGACAACAGGTCTTTTCTCCAGCTGGCCTCATACTCGGATTCCCGTTGGTCTTTGAGTAACGGTAACGCCTGGAGATCAAGTTTGTTGAGCTGAAGCTTTTCTTTTGGTTTTCTCCTCTGCCCTTTACCATGTTTCTGCATGGCGAATTCGTATCTTCGAGACATACTGTGCTCGGAAGGAAATGTTTCAGA